AAAGGTTAGTCGGATGTGCTGAGAGAAATCGTGAAGCCCTTTAAATCCGAGGACGTGCTCCCAACTAGTCCCAGCTCGAAAGAAGCCTCAGAGATTTTTCTTTCCGATTCCCAGGACGTTTCTGGTGTCGCTTCAGAAGCCGGAAAAGCCGACGGAGTCAAGAAGCTTTTGGTCGCCGATGACGCGTCTCTGGATGGACTTCTGCCCGAAAGAGTTGCTCCGGTCATTTTGGCGTCACAAAAACAATTCAACTTCACACACATCGTCGGTCCATCGACGGCTTTCGCGAAGAACGTTCTTCCGCGAGTCGCTGCGAAACTCGACGTTTCCCCGATATCCGACGTGCTGGATATCAAGTCCGAGGACACGTTCGTTCGACCCATCTATGCCGGCAACGCAATCCAGACCCTGCAGACCTCGGACGCGGTGAAGATCCTCACCGTACGAGCGAGTTCGTTCGATGCCGTTGGGACAAGCGGAAGCGCGACTCCTGAATCGGCACCGAAGGCTGAAGGTGTCAAGCTGGACATTTCCACGTACGTCAAGTCCGAGATTAGTAAGTCGGAGAGACCCGACCTTTCGTCAGCTAAAAAAGTAATCTCCGGCGGACGCGGTATGAAGTCCGGCGACAATTTCAAAATGCTGTACGACCTCGCCGATAAACTCGGAGCGGCTGTGGGGGCGTCACGTGCGGCAGTCGACGCGGGCTTCGTGTCGAACGACCTCCAGGTCGGCCAGACAGGGAAAATCGTAGCGCCCGACCTCTACGTCGCCATCGGAATCTCGGGAGCAATTCAACATCTCGCGGGTAAGCATATCGTTCGAAATCGAGCAGCAATCCTCTAATTATTCCCGGTGGCGCAGCTCTCTTTCTCGGGCTTCCGGTTTCTAGAGGTGACTCATTGGAAATTTCCCAACAGGTATGAAGGACTCGAAGACGATCGTGGCCATCAACAAAGACGCAGAAGCACCGATTTTCCAAGTCGCTGATATCGGTTTGGTTGCCGACCTCTTCCAGGCTGTTCCCGAAATGCTGGAGAAAATTGACAAGTTCAAGTCAAAGTGAACGCAATTGTTTGCACTTGGTTGAGAAGGCCGGGAGAGATATTTTGATGATGGGTATATCTATGCTGTGACTTTAAATAAAATTTTTTGTAGGACTTCTCTCTCTTGATTGATATTAGGTCTCCCGGATGTCTCCGAAGATCTACCCTGATCCGTCCAAAGGAACAGATGGAAGGAATTCAGCGTCCGAAAAGCTCGATATTTATTGCCTAGGTATCCGCATCCATGATCTAATACCAGTAGAACTCCGCGGGAATCCGATCGTCTTTGATGCCATGTTCCTCCATGATGTCCATTTCGAAAGTGGCTAGTTTCGGCAGGAAAGTAATTTTCACCAAGTCGGCGGCTGAAGTGTCCTTGGGTTGATTCTTATAGGTATTGCGGGTTTTGTAGTCGTACGTTTCCTCAGCGGTCAGAGGTATAGGGATCTCCCTCCCGCTACGGAGCGAAATGCGAACCCGTTCGTTGTTTTCCGTGTACCTCCATTGGGCCTTACAAGCTCTCTCGTCGGTTGGGTCGACCAGGGCGACCTGCGGAAAATCAAAACAAAATAGAATGTCGAAAGGATGTACCGCCTCTGACTCGGGTAGGTCCTTCAATGATCCTGTGGACGCGTCCAAATTCTCCAGTACTAGAAATGCCCTTAGGATTGTCCTCTCCTCACCTGCTCAAACATGACGAGAGGCTGCTCGATCACCTGAACAATCTTCTTCCCCTCAAAATTCTTGGAGATCTCGTGCTTACAGTTCAAACCGCTCACGCAGACCCAATTCCGCTCTTTGACAATGTAGTTGACGATTCCTTGTTTCCCTTTATCTTTCCCGACCAGGATTTGAACTCTGTCGCCTTTGAAGAATAATTCTGGTACCGGCTCGATGATTTGTGGTCTGTTCAGCTTCCCGGGTTCGTTGAACTTCTTGAAGCCGTCGGTCCACGGTCGATCCAGGCCGTACACGAAATCAGAATCGGGCCGTTTGATCACCTTCGGAAATCAACATCGAGATGAGAAAGTTCTGAGTACCGTAGAACCTATACGATATCAAGCAGAGGATGCGTCCCCCAAGGATTCATATGAGCGAGCGTCCACTGAAATAATTGCAAATCTCGCTCGTGACTATGTATAGATGGACGGAGCAGGAGAACTCACCGCTCTCCTGTATTGCCGCCCCACAGGAGTCTTATATTCGATTTCTTCCATGGACCTCTTGATGTATCTCTCCGGGAAATTCGACCAACTCTTCGGGAGTTTCGGCGTCGCGAAGAGAACTCTCGTAAGCCGCATTTTCCGATCAGGTCAGGGAGGAGATCGTATCAGGTTCCCGGGTATCAGATAGCTTAAGAGGGGCCGGTCACAGCTCGCAAACTCCGCAGCATCCGTGAGGGAGTTCGAGAGATTTCGGATACAGACCTCCGGACGAATGGTTTGCCTTTCAACTTTCACCACGCACCACACTCTGCGCCGAAACGTTCTGTTGACATAGTAGCAGACGCTCTCCACCGAGGAATCAACAATGTTTGAATCGGGGGCTCATATGTGAATGTCAGGTAGTTCCTCGTTCAGATTTCCTCGGAGCCCCGGAGTTCCTTCGACGATTTTTCCGGGTTCCACGCTCGGATTTCTAAGGGTTGCGTAGGTTCGATTTCTCGACTTTGGTTCCAATCACAGTTGATGACTTAACATTTCGTCATTTTTCTTCCATAGCTTTCTGTGCCGGTGGGCCCGTGTCTGATGAAACTGATTTCCGTATAGCGGGAAGTTGTGCTGGGGCTCGGGACACACTAACTAAAATTCAAGGGGCGGAAGGTATTCCACAAGGGGTTCCTTGTGAAGAGTGAGGACTGAGAAGGGTTTCATAAGAGCGAAAGTTTGCGAACCACAGTTCTAGGGTCTGGAGTCTGGAGTTCTGGAACTCTAGATGTGGGGACCAGCACCACCTGGGGGTCTCGGCTGCCGTCCTCGGGGGTTTTGGCAGGTCGGTGAGGATAGGATGCGGTGGTTCTATGGGAAATACATTCGACATAGCGTACAGGAATCGACCACAAGTAGCGCGTCGGAGTTTCTCGTTATACTGGAAGGGCTTATGCGATGAAGAACAGGAAAATATCATTCGTCTGGCGAAGCCACCGAATAGTACTTTGGAAATGACTTCACGAGGGGTCCCGTGCCTAGTCGAGGACTTCGGGGAGGAGGGGGGGCAGCAGCGTATTGAGGCGGTTCTTTCTACGGAGCTCTCAGGGGCGGCATTTCGGGGTTCTGCATTAAAAAAAAACGGAGTGTTCTCGAGAAAAAACATCTGCCGGAGGGCGGAATTTTTGTCGAGCACGTTGAAAAAACTGAAAATTTCGAATCACTGCCCCGGGCGGCACTCCAGCTCGCTACGCCACTGGGGTGTCACCGCGCCGAGCAGAAATCCGGAATCTTAGAGTATTTTGGGGCGTACTACAACCCTTTCTCCCCTTCAAAGAACATGTAGAGAGAGTGTGGGAGACTTACTCGCATAGAGGCACCCCGGTACCGATTCAATAAATCTGTCCATTTTGCTTCATGGCTTCCCCCTCGACCTTCCGGAGAGAGACGAACCGGGTAGCAACTTATCGGATGGAAGAACGGCAATCTGGGATTGGACCCGATGCCTGGGGTGGAGGTTGCCTCCGTTGAATTTTCCGACGAGTTGGAGCTCTAATGCGCTTCTCGTGTGCTACCTAATCCGAGGTGGAGACTCGGAAGGTATTTGGAAGTATCAGAGCGCATAATTCCAAGGAAATCAGGAACCATAGAGTCGAGAAGGTCATGGAAACTAGCCTCCATAAAGGCCCCTGGCTCGCGGTCAGCAACCATGTATATATCCGAGCCTATATATATCAGCCCGCGTCCAGGAGCTTGGGTAATTTACAGCCACGGGCAGATACGTATGGTTTGCATTCAGCAAGCGGCGGATCTCTATGACTCTATGGAATATCGAGAGCCTGAGGAGTTCCCCGTTCGTATGACTGATTTCAGAATAACTTTGCCCCCTTGAGTACCCACTTAATAAATAATAATCTTTCCCCACGGAGAAACCCCGCTGTTCCCGAGGTGGGACTCCCTGTCACTGAGTCCGCGATTCGCGGGGAGATGAGTCGCTAGGCGCGCCGCCATTTTGTTTTGTGGGAAGGGCCGACCGCAGACCGAACCTGTGAGGGTACTGCGCGGCGGCTTCAACAACAACCAGCGAGAAATTTCGTCTCTTGGAGTCGGTGCGAAAGTCACGGTAGGGGTCGGCGCGTTACCCATCGCAATCGAACAGAAACAACTCGGGCTGTCATACGCAACCTAGAGAGCCCCGTGGATCCGGACCTCGCAGATACGATTGCCCGGCGAGCGGATCGATTCTTTAACAAGGTTCGTAGCGTAGACGTTCCGTCGTTCTCTCTTCGCGGTCGTTTTTCCGGAGTACCTCCAGGGCATTCCGCCGATCTCAGGTTTTCCGAGGGATCGTGGTGATAGGGCGGATCGATAGAGCTGGGTTTCCTATGAGCGTTTCGGGGAAAGATCGAGCTTTTGCCCATCTGAACAGCGATCAGCAGATCCATCAGCTGCTCGATCAGCTGATAGAAAATCCTCTCCACCCCGGCGGTCAGATGATAATTGATGATGAAGACGCTTAATCTATATCGCAAACTCCACGCCTCATCCCTCCCCATCCATGATCGGATGCTTCTTAAATTATGATAGAGCTTTCCTGAATCGTAAAAGATTGCGCGATACACCAGGTCGGCTTCTCACAATGGCGCTGATCAGGAGAGTCGAATCTCTGATCGACGGGGTAAGCTTACTTGGCTATAGGTACTTGGCTTTGCGAGGTATCACCCGAACTGGAGAAGAGGAAGCCTCTTGCCTATACGATTCGGAAATTCCACAATCCTGGATTTTTGCCGCAGTTGCTGAAGCAATACGCTCTCCCGATTCGACGGCGTGAAATGGCATGGCGATGTCACGGCAAGAACAACGATGAGCTGGTCAACAATTTATCAAGTGAGTGGAGGCTGCCCAGAGCTGTCACAAGTCAATAACAAGAGCTGGCGAAACTTTGGTTCTCGGTCGCATTCGATGAGCTCAATCGAGTGATTTTTCATGCTCAGGACACAATGTCCTCAAGACGGAACGCATCGCAAATGTCATGAGAAAAATCGACCGCGGAGATTTTGCTATGTGTACCGACACTGCGTACGATGATGCGCCGCAAGCGATCGGCTTCGCGGTGACAATAAGCGCCCCCCATATGGTAATGTCACACAGTATGTTATCGAGATATGGAGCATGACAGAAGACGTATAGTTTCCGTGATATCGAAGGTCGATAAGGATACAGTAGTGTGTATTTCGATTTTCAAAACCTCGTCTTCAACAGCATGCCTACGCTCTTGAAGCCCTGAGGGACCATTTGCCTGAAGGAGGTCGAGCCTTGGACATCGGGTCTGGGTCAGGATACCTCACGGCGTGTATGGCGGCGATGGTGGGACCCCGCGGGAGAGCCATTGGAGTGGATCACATTCCGCAATTAGTAGAAATGTCGGTCAAGAACGTCAAGAAGAAGAACAAGAAGATGCTGGAAACTGGTCAACTTCAGTTGTTTGGTGCGGTGTGCTATCTTTTTTCAGGCACCGATCAAATACTATGAGTTCCTCGCCGATCGGATCAATTGATCAAGTACTCGATCTGTTTCAGTTGGAGACGGCCGGGACGGTTATCCTGGGGAAGCTCCATACGATGCAATTCATGTCGGAGCGGCTGCTGAGGAGCTGCCGACGAAACTTGTCGATCAACTGAAGCCTGGAGGACGTTTGGTGGGTATTTCACAGGAGGTCAAAAAATATTTTTCCGCAGTGCGTGAATTTCCTCTGGATGCGTCTCATTCTCATGCTCTCGTATCCTGTAGGTTTGTCCTGTCGGCAAGGAATACGACGATCAGGTCCTACTGCTAGTTGATAAGAAAGCGGATGGTAGTCTGGTGAAAACCAAACTATTCGGGGTCAGATACGTGCCATTGACGGATCGTGAGAAGCAGTATCCTGGAAGAATCAGTTAGGTGTCGATTGCCAAGGGGATCGAGGAGCTCGAGTTGTTCAGATCGCTTGAGGATGAGCTCACATGACCCCGAGACTCGCTTTACCTTGTCGAATCGGTGGGCATCGTGGCAGAAGACCCCGAGCGGAGAGCTTTCGGAATTTGTCCCCGTAGCGTTGTTCACCCCAAGACCTTCAATGATAGGTACTCGAAAATGTTCCGGAGCGCTCTCCTCAACTGAATTTAGACTCTTGGTATTCATCGAGTCGGGGAGTAGTGTTCGCGCTCCTTGAGGAGATCTTGAGGAATTTTCTGTGAATGGTCGCCTTATGAAGCATATTTTCATTATGATTCCAGTTCGAGCCCTTCTACGTCGTCAGCGTCTCCGGGCGACGTCGAAGAAATGAAGTTGAGTGTAAATAAACCAAGGAAAATCGCTGTATGTACTCTTGATGGGTGGTCGTCATTGATGCTCAGCAGACCTCGAGATGCTCTCGGGTGACAGAATCCAACTTTCCAGACGGACGAGACTTTAATCCGTTCCTCGAACATGTCGTAATTTATTGTTCTGATAAAAACCAGTCCGAGAGACCGGAGTAATAAGCGAGATCTAGCCAATGAAACGAAAGATAATTGAAGTATATACACACAAGGCGGTCGTTCCCCGTATCTATTCAGGCTTAACAGATACGAATATTGGTTTTGCCTTGCATCATCAAGAATCCCTGATCTTGGAGTTCTTTCAGAACGTCTTCGAATAGTTCTCGCGTGATCTGATATTGGGAATTTTCCTTGAATTCCTGGAGAATTCTATTGAACTGATGGTTCTGCGCCGATTTCGACTCAAGGAGCTTCTTCAGAGCCGCGGCGATCTCGATCTTCCGCTGGCGTCCGGCATTCGACAGACCTGTGGAAATGATTCCGACGTCGATTTTACCAGTCGAGGGATCGACAGCGGACTGTTTCAACGCCTCTCGATGGAGCCGTTTGGCTTCTTCGACGTCTTCAGCCTCGACCTTATCGCTGAGTCGAGTTTTCGCGTGAGCCTCCGACAATCTGATGAGACTCTCCAGCTGTCTAGGGTAGGCAGAGACCTGTCCTTTCCGGTTGCCGATACGTCTCATATCCACGTATGCGTCGATGAGCATCTGACCCGCATCCTCGCCGATCTTCGGATGGCAAGTTGCCTTTGCGAAGGCAATGTATTCCTTCAGAGACTCCATGTCCAACTGTTGCTCTTGGCTTTGTTCGGGCGTCTTGTGGTAGAGCGACACCAAGTGTCGAGCCAGACGTCGGTCGAAGTTTGTGTCCTGGGGATCGAGCATCAAAAAGATCAAGTCGAATCTCGACAAGAGGGTCGGAGGAAGCTGGATATTCTCTATGATGGTCTTGTTCTTCGCCCACTGGGAATCGACCGGGTTCGCCGCCGCCAAAATAGAGGTACGAGCATTCAGTTGACAAATGATTCCGGCCTTGGCGATCGATAAGGTCTGTTGTTCCATGACTTCATGGAGGATCGAGCGAGTCGTGTCGCTCATTTTGTCGAACTCGTCGATGCAGCAAATGCCGTTGTCGGAAAGTACCAGGGCACCGGTCTGGAGCACCATCTGTCTCGTTTCAGGATCCTTGGTCACGTACGCTGTCAGACCGACCGCGCTCGACCCTTTCCCGGACGTGTACTGACCTCTGGGTACCAGATGGTGAACATACTGCAACAGCTGAGATTTAGAAGTACCGGGATCGCCACAGAGAAGGATGTTGAGCTCTGCTCTGAAGCTCGCCTTCCCATCGCCCGAGAAACTCTTTTTCGTGCCTCCGAACAGCTGCAGTAGGAGACCTTTCTTGATGTCTTCGTTCTCGTAGATTCCGGGAGCGATGGCGCGAGCCAAGCGATCGTAGACGTCCGGTTTCGAGGCCAGGTCCCTGAGCGCAGCAACTCTTTCCTCGGAGAGATTTATGCTGCCCTCCTGGGATTCATCGTGAAGTCGTTTGTTGTCCAATCGACGGAAATGCACCACGTCGATATGAGTCCTATAGACCGACCTCACCGATCTCTGCTTCGGGTTGGGGCGGACGGGCACGGCTCGATAAACGCCAGTGACGGTGACACGGTCTCCAGGCTGTACGGCGTCCACCAAGTCGGTGTGGGCGTACAGGCACACTGTATGAGGGGTTTGACCCGCGGGCATGTCTGCGGGATCCTCCTGTAGTTTGATCATCTGTTTGTCGATGAATGTGCAGCGGTTGTGCACCAGAGCGAAGCTGAACTTGGTCGAACAGTGACGGCAGGTGATCGGTTCCTGGATAACCCCTCGAACGATGTCGACGCTCTCGGTGAAGGAACAGACCGTGCATTTGAAGAAAGCACCGCGCATCTCGGGAATGATGTTCGACGCGCGGATGATCATGCCGGCAATCGTGACCAGCTGATCGATGTCTTCTGGATTAAGACAACGCATGCTTTTTGTGATTTCAGCGTTGTAGGGTCGAACCTGCACGACTGGCAGGTTGTGGTCCGGGTATATTTCGGTGAAAAGTTCCGTGAGAGCCATGTCCATCGTCGGGAGGACTTCCTGGGGATAGTGGACAAGCTGTCGGGCCAAGTCGGGTTCCGCGCTCCGGATGTGCTTAATGTTGACGTGTAGAAATTGTTCCTGCGAAATTCGTCGATAGTCAGCTACCGGTATCGGAGTTAGTTATGGTCAACATTGGTGCATCCGCAACGTCATGGAGTGATGAAATGGGTCGTTGCGGGAGACTGAGAGAACGAACCTCGAGAGTGTTGAGCTCAGCCATTTTCTGAAGGTAGTAAGGCTTGGATGGGTCAATACCTTCGAAAAGTTCATCACGTTCGAGATTTTCGTCGATGTACGTTTTCAAAAAGTTGCGGAACTTGGCTTTACAAACTGGAACGACAACATCCGTCCCCCAGACGACCATCTGCGGAACATCAGAAGACTGGTCAACCTCCATCTGATCCGCATGATCAGAACTGGGAGCGTTGACGCTGACTTGACGGAGGAAGCGATCATTGTGAATATCGCTCCGGGGTCGAATCGGTCCTATGAGAAGAGAATCCATCAATCGGTATTAAGACTCACGTCGAAGGTTCCTCCGACATGAATAGAATATTATTGACATCATCGTTTCTGCGCCGGCGCGGTGTCGTTTTCGACCGGCTTCCACGAACCTCTGCTTGATGGAGTCAGCGCCGAGCTCGGCGTGCCGTAATTCAGAGGTGAACTGAGGTCCAATTCAGTGAAGACTCCATTCCTCACAAAGGGCGAGGACGGTGGAATCACGTTCGGGGACAGCGGATTCGCGAGTTCTGATGATGGCGCATCGGATGGACCCGCTTGAGGTTCCAGTCTGCGCCTTGATGGAGTCCCTCGGGCCGGAGTCGTGCGCTGACGTGAGTTTGCGGGAGAGCGCGCGGACGACGCTGTCGTTTACAAGAAAATAAAATCGGTGAGTCTGGGTCGAATGGGGATACGCGCGATCAGGAGCATCATGCGTATGTCTCCAAAGGCTGCGGGAGCAATTTAGTTCACTCACGAGTCCGAGGTCCCTGACGTCCGGGTGCTCTTGGGGAAGACATGTTGTATCGAATTCTGCGAAGATAGAATAAGCATAAGTTTCCACGGGGGCGTTACTCATCTCTTTTCTCATTTAGAATCGCGATTGTTTGGCAGCAACTTTCGTCTCTGCCGTCGGCGAGATGTCCCTTTAATGTTTAAATGTCCTGCCCTAGATCATGAACATGCACAGATCGATACGTATAGAGTCGATACTCAGGAACTCACCGTTAAACAACACTTTTCGGTTTAAATTGACGGGTCGTTATTAAATCGCTCTGGCTATTGGTAAGCACTGGAGAAGCTGCTAGCATTAAGCGCCAAACGCCATTTTTCGGCGCGACATTTTCGCGCCCATCGAACCTCGCTGGAGAGGGGCGATGCGCGCCAAATTTGAAATCAGATCATCGCTGACGGTCTTGCTGCTGAAAGCGCAGCTAGAGCGGTTTTCCGTGAGGGGACGTTAAGTCGCAATACGATTCGAGCTCCGGCTCAGCTGCAGACAGCTGTGTCCTTGTGCATGCTTTCTCTGTTCATTCAGATGCCACTTCAAACTCCATAGTTTCTCTCTATTCTCTCATCTGTCTCAACAAGACACGGGTCAGCGGTCATTAGGGTGACATTCTCCTGTGCTCGTTTGACTTGACGGCCTCAGTCAAGAATTATATTCGCTCCGGGCGGCGGAGTCGAAACAGAACCACTCTAAATGTGAAATGAATACAATGATTCAACTGCTCGTGGGGAGGGCAGATCAGCAGCTCGGCTGTGAGAGTCTGAGAACATGTGGTGGGCTCCATGGAATCGTGCAATCATAATCTATGGTGATGGTCGCTCCGTAGGGCTTTATTACATTCAAGATCATTAGGGCATAGGCTCGCGATCGATGACATGAGTCGACGTTTTTTGACAACATCGGTCAAGGATGTTCTTTCTCGACATCTGAATTCTAAATTAAGCTTCGATCTTGCGCTAGTTTGTCCCCTTTCTCTGACCCGTCTTCCTGGTTCCCCGAGTTTCGATCTGGGGAGCTTGTCATGATGCCTCGGTCTCTCACCGGATCCGCGGGTACTCGACGGGGTTGCTCCCGAATTCCGACCGACTGCTGACTTTCAGCATTGTGTCCAGCTCCACAACCGCCGACAGAGAAGTCTCGATCGCGCCCGATCACCAATCTTCGCGTTCCGACCCTCATTCGTCGGACCTATCGGGCAAGTGCCGGTCGCCGTTCGATTCAAGAAATCGACCGCGTCCGAGGCGTAGAGAATCTCCATTCCAGATTAACAAGTTCCGCTTGGGGTTTTTACCCACGTGCTGATAAAACCAATCCTAGCATCGGTAGCGGATCATGAAGTCTTCGATTAAAATCCCCGGAAGCGGACTCCGGCTGCATAGATTACCGGAGGTTACATCGGAAGACCTTGGTATCATAATCACCGAGAAGTATGAGGTAAATTCTGCCGCATAAACAGGGCCAGCCGGACAGCTCCAGCGGTCGAGGAGCGATAGCAGCGATGAACAGATATTCCAACCTAATTCGGTCCGATCGCCTGATGACGAGCTGCAGAAATCCTTGAAGGAGGAAGGACAACGTCTCGCCAAAGAGTTGTCTTTCAGGCGGGCCCATAACGATTTCTAGTTGGCCACTGGAAGTCCTCGACCATGCTTCCGTCTGATGAAGAGGCTAATGGCGTGTCGACGATTTCCAGAATGGAGTCGGAGCATAGGCATCGTGGATTCTTCCGACGAGGAAATGCTCGGGAGGATTTCGTGGAGGATTTCTTGGAGGATTTCGTGGAGGAATTCATTTCGGGCTGCGGTTACGGAGTCTCGAACTTGAAATACGGCCTCCATATCGTGGGATAATTATCGAGGCAAGAAAAATTTTCCTGACGGAGCCAGAAGATCTCACGAGCAGAAGGTAGCTATTGCTGTGCTGGTTGCTTGGAGTGGACGCAGAATGCTCTCCATTCTGGAGGCGCAACCGCGGGTCAGGGTCGGAGAGTCCGCGATCGAGCTCCGAATCAGGGAATGAACACCAGATCGCGGGTTCCAGCAAACTCTTGAGAGTGTGTTGAGCCTTGATTCGGATCGAGCCTCGAAGCATTTCTGAATTCCAGTGTGATGTCGTGGACGATAATTCTTTCCACAGTGCCAGTCAGGAAATTTTATTCGTGGATGCTGCTTTGCCCTCCCGAATTGGAGCAGTTAGACGGTGTCTTTCCAAGTTTCTCAAGCCACTGGGATGCGCACTAAATTATCGCTGTCTATTCTGAGATGCTGCTACGAAAAGATGACCTTAGTGCCTTTTGAATTGAAGATCTTTCGAGATTCTCGTACACACACACTCTTCTTTGACTCGCTCTACCGATACGTGACCCGCGAAGGATCATCACACCGGCACCTCGTTGTGCATACTCATAATTATCTACTCTTTTAGTCTGATTCACCTCTCGCTGATCGCTGTGATCTTCCACCGCTATCTTCGACACTCGAGGAAATCGCGATTTTCGTCATTTTCCAGCCTATTCCAGGATGCCCTCCATTCCCCTACGAGATTCGCATTTGATGGCCGTACCCATACAATTATTCTCGTATAGACCAGAGGAAAGCTCTTTGCTCGTTACACCTCCGCTCTGGGAAAATCAATGCAAGTGAATGAGCTTCGATTGCCGATTCTCGGAAAGGTCTCGGGAGCACACCGAGACGCCCCGGTACTCCCAGCCACAACTCTGAAGGGCTCGAACGCATGGATGACTCATCAATCATTCCGCGGAGGTTTTTCAGGGGATTCCGGATTCGCGGCTTGCTGCACATTCGAAAAGAAAAATCAACGAATCCACGAGCTATGCGATTTTCCGATCGCGACAAACAGCGATTTCGGTGATCTCTTGCAGAGAGGGGGTCGCAGCCTTCGTCGATGGAGGGCTGAACGGGGGGAAGCGGTGTCTTCGGGCCAAACACTGATCTCGAGAAGCCGAGAGAAAGCCGAAAGAATATATACGTCTGGATGGGTTCGCTTCTCGAGGAAACCGATAGGAAGCTGCGTAGGAGGCGTTGCATCAGGCCTCGGCATCATCGGGGTCCAACGATCAAAGGCGCACTGGAACACGAGTATCGGTGCGAGCGCAGAACTATTTTTAGAATGCTCGAGGACAAGCAAGGATTTAAAAATAACAGCTACTATTCCCAATATAAAATGTTTGTTGACCAACAGCTGGCTGCTGGACGGATAAGGGGTGAATGATCTTCGAGTACTCGAACGCGTTGGGGGAAACTCGCAACGATAAGATAGGAGATACTGAACGGAATAAAACAACAAGAACCCTCCAGGGGATTCGCGAATGAGAATTGACGTCAAGAAGAGTGCTTGATGAGCTTCCTCACGATAAACCAGAGATGGTACATGGAGACAAGAACTCCAGGGCAGTCCGGCCGGTGGAATTGTTTTCCAGACGGGACCGAATATTTATGTTCTCGTTGCCGGAGGCCACGGTCGCGGCATCCGAGTTGTCTAGCCGACACGTATGGATTCCGGAAAGTTAAGATGACTATCCGACGAGGTCATCGTCGCGTGACCCTATCTTCAAGCCCGGAAACGAAAACATTAGTGATAAGCACCCGATAGATCTAGGATTGAGACTAGAAAAATAAGTCTATGTCTCCGAAATTAGAAACATTCATAGCACCCGCCGCAGGAATACGCGTGGCAACGTGGCAACTACAATCTTCTGATGAAAGTAGGTAGGCTCAGTCGAAGGGCTCTGGCGGCCAAGTGACAGGAAAGTTCTCCATGATCCTACTCGAGCGATATGTCATCAGACAGACGAACGACTATTCCCTTTGAGCTTTCGTCGATAAAATTGTATCTCAGCATTTGCTGGAGGCGCGCAATGATCGAGATGGTCGTGTGAGCCCTAATTGATATCTCGAGTCTGAGTTTCCAATTTTGCATCGATCCCCTAGGCCCAAGACAATTAAGACACGGTGAGCAATCGACAACTCGTTGCTGATCCTCATCTCAAGTGACCAATCGTCGAGAAGAAGCGGATCTTCTTTCACAAACTTCGAACCAAGGAGGCCGCGATCACCCTGAGGAATTGGCGATCGAGAGTCGGGGAACACACGCTTCCTTTCGCTCATCGGAAGCATATCTATTCGGAGAAACATTCTCATCATTATCTTCACGGGCGAAAACACTCATCTTAATCATGCTGACTCGACATTGGGTCAAGCTTTGCATCGAAATAAAACTTGTCGGTGATGTCTGATTGCTGAGCGAGGATGAAAACTTCCATTCGCCAGCTGCCGGTCTCGAGTCGGGCCGAGTATAGAGCCGATCGCTCGTTCAACCTACCGCCGAAATTAGGCTAACAGCCTTTTTCAAGAACAGCGGCAAGATAAGGCATCGAGGGGATCTCTATAGCGAAGGTAGGGATTGCTAAAGGCTTCCATTTTCGGGGGTACAAAGTTCGCGATTGTTATTCTAGATCGTCGGTGCAATGTTTCTGGAAATATATGGAGCCATTCAGCAGCGTGCCGTTTTGCGTCAGTGTGCGCCGCTCATCCGCCTTGGAACAAAATTTCCCCGGAAAAAGGGCTTGGACTTTGACCTGCCTGAGCAGCTCGATGACTGTTGTCCACCAGTATCCGCCGCTGAGGGCTGCTTCCTATGTTTTTCCCGGTCGAGAGTAATTGTCTCTGTGGTCGGAAAGGATTTCTTCAGTTGATACTTGACAAAGTCAAAGGTCGGCACAAGCTGGTCGAACGATCTACAGCCGAAACGGACCGTAATGTATCGTAATCCCCTGGGCTGGTTGGATCTCTCACGGAAAGACAAACACGTCTTCCTTTATTCATGTTGACAGGAACGACTCTCGTCGATCTGGAACAATGTTGCAAGGCGACCTCGAGACACCTTAAATCGCATGCCTGCGACGGAACATATCTCGAATGCTTCATGGACCATCAGACGGACAATGATCGTCGCCCATCGCAGCGCCCAGGCGTACCCTCGTTGAGAATATCTGCGGGAAGTTGTGCAGGGGTGGACGCTGGAACATCATGAAATCGATCACATTCGGGCTCATGTGGAGAAAACAGCCATATCCCGGCGACGGAGGGCAAACAGAGCAAGCCGACGCTCCAACAACAGAATGAACGCTACCTGCGATACGATCACCGCCGTGCCTGCAGACTCCATCCCAAGGTTAAGAGTTGAAAGGTTATCGCTCAGATAGCAGGGCATTAGAAATCGTTGTCTAGTAGAGGAGAAGCTGTGAGCGTATTTTTTTACATCAGAGATCAATCCCGAATCACATAGCGTGCAAAACTCCAGCCTGCGAAGATCGGGAGCAGGCGTTCCACCTGATCGCTCCGATGACCAAATGGTCGAGAGACCTTCCAGGGAGATCAAGCGGTCGAATGTTTGGAAGAGAGTGATGCCCACGTCGGATTGGCGACGAATTTTTCGAGATTGTGTCTGTCCCTGGGTGACTCTGCAATCCGCACGTTCCAAGAGAACGGTCGGCCTCAGAGTTCTGATACGATTGATCGGTGTCTCGCGGCGGTACACGAGGAATGTACCTCATGACAGGCTGTCTCTCAAACTCGGAATTGAGTTCCCGAATGCTTCCATTACTGAGGCAGCTTCCGATTTCCGAGTATTCAAAGAACTTTCGATACTCGACCGGTCGGTCTCTCGACCTCGGATTTCATTTGGCGTTCCCAGGGACGACGAGCGAGCATGGATTGAATTTTTCACGCTCATTACCAAGACTCAATCGAATACAACGCGCTCGTGCACCCTCGAAGTAAACACCGAGTCAGGGGCTCCGACAATCAGTCATTTCTCCGTCTGTCAGGATAAAGCAGGGCTTGAGGTCCGATCGTTCCCCATGCTTTCGGCACGGCAATCGAAACATTCCTCGCGGCGGCCGATGCGAGACGGTAAGCGAATCATTCGCCGCCCTCCAGGGAGAAGAATCGTGCCGGTTCCTTCCTGCCTGACTCGTTTCACTCCTTCCTCGGGAACTGCTACCGGGCGGGAATCGATGTAGTCCCGCCTCAATTCTACCTTTGATCTATCGGAATCACTACTCGTTCCGGTGTTCGGACCTGCTCTCGAACGTGTGCAAGCGAATGATTGTGAACTGCCGCATGAGTGGGTGGTGGAACAACATTCGAGTTTATCTCGTGATCCGGTTTTGCGATCCAACAGCGATGGAGGACTTGATTCTCGCGACACATTAAGTGTCCCGATGGGGTTCAAACAGAAAGAAATCATAGCGAACATCGTAAACGGTGTCGCTTTCCAACTCCGCCTGCTGATCAACTTCGTCTGCGGATCGCGGGCCGTTAGTGCCGTTTGACTCATAGTATGGCTGACCACAATAATCGGACGGAGAGCTCTGCAGCCCACGGAAGTGAAAATCTTGAATAATCTCTGTAACAGTTGTATGTATCATCGTTTCGATTGCTTTCCCTGAAGTCAAGGACTTTCGAACCTTAAATTGAGCTCAACGCGGGAAGTTTGTGGTTATCTCTCTCCGGAAACGAGAAAACAGTTCATGCGACTGCTGTTGACTTTGGATTTTGCTCATCGAGTGCTCTCCTATGCGGGAAGCAGGGATAAGGTGAAACAAAGGAAAACAGGATTGCCGCTAAACTTCCGATCCTAAATTACCTGTTGACGCCCGTGATACAAAATATCGAGACAGATGCCTGCAGCAAGGATGAACGGTCCTCCTGGCCTCTGACGCAAAAATTATTGTGACGTTTGAAGCCCGCTCGTCGGCGGAGGGGAAATTCACAGAAATTTTTGACATGGCAGAGCTTCCGATCCAGTCGACAGAGAAGCATACCCTCGCGGAACAATACTGAGCTTCAAGTGCCGAGGATCCATGCTGATCAGCGGAGCTAGGAGGTAAGTACACGACATAATTCCCAGAGGCTCAATCGCTTAGGCTTCACCGTTGCCCCATTTATTGGCGCGCGGCGGATCTTGACCGCAGTCGTCGCGTATTCATAAGAAGTAGATGAACCCTCGCTCGTACGCGCAGTCTTACGGTTCCATATCAGGTAGAATTCGAATCAAGGAGATGGTCACTCCCGTGGGATTTATGTCCTAGATCTGCTGGTATCTCGCATCGGAACCGGAACGTGCATCGCTTGCTCACGGATAGATGCTACACATCCAAGCGTAGATAGGTCGAGCGGACATACTTAAGACACCCATTTGAGCGTAGCGGAATAGGAAAAACGCTCGTTGCACACGAATCTGAGGACGGGAACACCTGTCAACAAGTCAAAGAATCCAGCTTGCCCCTCTACTCGCTTCCGGAGCATTTCGCTCGTGTCGGGAGTCGAGAAAAAGCTGATAATGAGCATTCAGCTCACTTCATAAGGAAAACCTCTCCCCGAACGAGTCTCTGCCCTCTTCCAACACATCTGGTCTCCGAAACGTGAAGTCTGATCAACTGAGCCAAAGCTTGCCAGGTGATGCTTCGATGGTTTCTTTATCCGATTCCGTGTTGAGCTTACGGCGTTCCATCCATTAATTTAATTCGCTCTCTCCGGGATCGCTGTCTAATCCGGTGCAGATGATATCAGTGATATTTTCCGAGCTTGCGATTGCGAAGCTCACTAAGAATGTAGACGAAATGCTGGAATCTGATTGGAGCCGGATTTACATGTACACGATAGGGCTGCCGGAGCCCTGAACCATCTGTCGCGGGGCACGCAATCTCGACACATGGAGACTTGGCGCTCATCCAATTCCCTCTATCTATGATGCAAGGAGCGTGTAATCGACTCGCCGGTGTTAGTTTCCAATGCTAACTATAGGTCGTGGCATGAATTGTTGACCCCACTCACTGAGTGAGATATCGTCGAGATGTCAAGTGTTCAAGAGTAGACCCGGTTCTTCGAGTATCACAATTTTGATTCATCGACTCTTGAGTTCCGAACGGATCACCGAGTCCCAATCGGAGTGGAACTGAGGTGGTCTATTTGGACGGAACGTGCTCATTGCGAACACTGGAAGAGCTCTCCATATGATTCTTCCTCTTGATCAAATTCTTCCCTTTGTACCCACGCTCGGTTCGGGAGAGATTATAGATTCCGCGGAGATTATCGACCATTCTATCGAATCTCTTAGTTCCTCGGATGATCTCCTCCGAGAGACAGCCACAGGGTCCCTCGGCCAAAAGGAGGAGGAGAAACGAGGATCGTCTCAGAAAGCTCATATCAGAACTCTGTTCCAGCTGATTTGAATCTCAGTCGTTTGTGTGTCTGAAGAGCTTCACGTGCGTGCTTCGGACATCTTCTGATGACTTCGAGCTTTGGAATCTCGCCCCGAGTGATAAGCTCTGCGTCAGTGGAAGGGAAGAAATGGCAGATACGGATCCGAACCCAAGTAAGAGATTTCTTCAAACGATTATTTTAATCTTAGATTTCCCTCTAAGAGTATCCTCCTTGTCACCGAAACTCTCATTCTCGAGTCTCTCTTGCGACACTCTTTCTCAGAGGTTGTCGCTTATAAGCTCGGGGCGGCTCACAGCTGTGATTCTCCTCCAAACTCGATAAATCCGCGGAATATTAGAGGGAAAAAGAGAACACATTTTCAATTTTAGAGTTGCTGATCGAATAGCGACCCCTGTGTCGAGGGCTGTCGGGACAAGCAGCGACGGAAAACCAGTGGAATACTCGTGTTTAGTGCATTGACTGTTGCGGGAAAAAGCGCCATCATGGATCAACAACCGTGTGAAATCAGGACCCAATTGCGTCCGCTGGGACGCCCGGCGATGTCTTTCCTATTGAAACCTCTGGCACACACCCGGAGAGCATCTCTGCTGGCGCACAAGTGAGTTCGACGTTCGGTTTTTCAAAAGTCAACCCGCCCTGGGTGCGGGAGGCGCTGAGCTCGGGAACTGAGACATGGTGACTCTTCCAGATATTTCATCCGGAGTCTGATTCTCACCATTTTCTCCGTGAACCTGGGATTGTACATTATGCACGCAGTAAGCCACGAGGTTATCTGCACGATCGCATTCATATTTTACCAGAGCTACTTCAGGTGAGCGCCATCGAATGGCCGATGAGCTAAAATTTTATCGACGGTCTAGGAGCTTGATTTTATGTGAGGGATAACCCCCGAAAGTGGTGTCGAGCTCAAACCCTGTTCTCTTTCTCGAACTCGCAGGCCGGAGGAAAAGCTGCAGAGCGAGGACCAGAAGCAAGAGAACTCGAGACTTCCCGACGGAACGGAACGGAAGCGGAAGATCACCCGAGTTTTGGGAGTTGATTTTGCCCCAGCTGACACGCCGATGCGTCAGAGAGTCCAAACCTTCTGCGTGGCCTTATGCAGTTTCAGTTTTCTGTTCGCCGGGGCTTTCTTCAGCGCCCTTTCGGTGTACCTCCTCTTCACAAGGTTCTGCTGGCTCCCCATCCTATACGCACTGTGGTGAGCGATTAACTCGATTATGGGTTTTAGGAAAGTGATTTCTCTCTAATTGGCGCCGCTCGCTGGCGGAAGACGAACTCAGAGTCCAAGATGTGTATATCTTGGTACATCGGTGCGATGCCGCGACGCTATCAACAGTCATTGACAATCATACTTCGAATCGTCATGCTGTTTCATGAGCTACAAAGCCATACGTCCAAAGGTCTCAACGTTCGTTCCAAGAACAGATTCTCATCGCGATAGAGTCCGGTACCTAAGCCGCTTCGAATCATTCTTCCACCTGAAAATCATCGACGCATGACATGGAGAAGCGCGCTGCTGAATCCTTCGAACTCCGTCTTGTTGTTCCGAGCTCAGAGGACTTCTGCGCGTGGAAGGCTGTTCGTCGGATCCGATCCCTGAATAGAGACCGTCCACTTGTGCGATTAGGGAATTATTAGGTTTTACGCTGGTCCCTTCTTTCGGAGGTGTGAGCGCACGTGTCTGGGAAGCCGACGCGATATCCGTCGGAGTTATTCTCGGACCGGCCGTCACCGTCGGGAACTGACGTCATCAACGTCGATGGAAGCCAGCTGCTCATTTCGATTGCCACGCTCTGAGCGTAATCAGCCAGCCCCCTCGATAACGTTTGTTCTTGCACGAAGGTTCTCTCACCTTTGATCGCCACTATCTCCCAGTAGCCTAAGCTAGAATGACGAATCTCCTACGAGACACTTCAAGCGTGACGAAACCTCCGAGATACAGGGACTCGGTATCTCGCTTTGTTTGCGTTCGACGCTATTAAGAGCCGCCGGTTGCCAGCGAATAGAACGGAAAAGGAAGGAAGAGCAAAATTGCAAGAGTCCATATTTCCAGGTATATTTACGACCACGGAACCCATGAACGCGGTGGTCATCGCATTCACTGGTACAGACGCTGGAAACTCTGGACAAGAGTTGCTGAATATTTCCCCATAGAGCTAGTGAAAACAGCTGAGCTCCCACCCGAGAGGTGATTTTCCGATCGAAATCATATTTCGGATTCCCTTGCTCCTGAGCGGCGCGGGATGAGGCATTGACTCTTGGGATTTCTTCCGCAGGAACTACATCTTTGGCTATCATCCTCACGGAATCATGGCCTCAGGCTCGTTCATTAACTTCGCAACCGAAGCAACTGGATTTTCGAAACTTTTCCCTGGTGCGTTCGTGGAACCACTGGCAAACAAGTTCGATTTCACTTTCCTTCGCCGTCGGAGGATGTATCTGAGCAGAGTTACGAGGAAATTCCAGTTTGATGAATCCGGGCGCTAAAATCATCCGTCCTTGTCTGTTTCAGGCATCGTACCTCACCTGATGACTCTGTCAATGAATTTCTGTTTCCCCTTCCACCGTGACTTGATCCTAGGCTTGGGGGTAGTTTCCGTCACCCGGAAGAGCCTCAACTGGATCCTGCAGCGAAAGGTCAGTTCGCTGCTTCTCTCCGCTACGGACCAAGGAATGTGTTCCAACCATGAGCGACCCCGCATGAAGTGACGCTCTCTCAAACTTCATAGAATAAAAAATAATATTTTCCAGGGATTGGGGAACGCGGCGGTCATCGTGGTCGGCGGAGCGCAAGAAGCCCTCGATGCTCACCGTAACACCAACGTCGCATTGACATTGACGTCGCGCAAGGGATTCATCCGATTAGCCTTGCAGAATGGGTGAGTCATTTCGGAGGTACAACTCCTAGTCGTGATAGCTCTGAGCCTTTCAGTAATCATGAAGCGTCCCGTCGCAGTCTATGCCGAACATCCCGAATCATTCTTGATTATTTTCAGCGCCGATCTCGTGCCCGTCTTCTCGTTCGGAGAGAATGACGTGTTCCAACAGGCAGCCAACCCTCCCGGCTCCAAACTCCGCGAGATTCAGGATCGCATGAAGAAAGTCTTGGGTTTCAGTGTGCCACTCTTTCACGGCAGAGGATTACTCCAGTACACATGGGGCTACGTTCCCTACAGAGCTCGGCTCACTACAGTCGGTGGGTTCTGGTCGATCCTGGCGAAGCTCAAGCTCTGTAATGTGTGATCGCGACAGATGCACTGAGTACGATTTTCATTCACAGTTGGTGCGCCGATCCGAGTGCAGAAAATCGAAGAACCCAGCCGAGAACAGGTCGACGCTCTACATGCTCAATATGTGCACGCTTTGAAACAGCTGTTCGAGAATCATAAGCACAGAGCTGGTTGCCCGAATCAAACCTTGACGATATACTGATCTACCTTCGCGAAGGAGCGATTGCTTCTCGCGTTGTTTATCGCGCTGAAATTATAGAATGCCCCGCGAGGAACGCATTGACGGTGAGTTCAGGAGGAGAATCAAGGACAAGACTTGAGAAGGTGTTTCGGGCTCCACACAATCAACATTCTGTATGTTCCATAACTCACAAGACAGCTCAGGTCGACTCCGATCCGCGAATAGACTTTCATTGGAAATTCAATTCTCCCTACATTAGAATTGTCACCAAACAACTTGACAACTCTTGTCTGGTCAGAGAGCTGGCCTTGTGTTTGCGGACGCGACGCGATGTCGGATATCCCTCGGGATCTGAGGAACTTGGTGATATTCAACTGGAAGTTTTTGATCGGAAGAGAAAGCGGGCGATGATTCGAAGGAGAGAGAAGTGACCACATACCTTCATACGTTTATCGAGTCAACAGCTCAATGCATAGCGGGCGTTCGCCATCATGTGATTCATATGTGATTGTAGGTAAATGTAACCTCTCGCGATTGAGGTCTCAGATCCCAGCAGCGGCTGGAGCTAAGCGTAAAGAGCAAAGTGAGTTTTTAGTTAGTCTTCCTGAGGAGTGTCACTTGACGACCATCTGAGAAAATCTATCATACCTACCAAGGAATGAAAACAAGAATCTGCCATAACTTGAGACACGATATGTGGCCTCCGATTGGAATTTAGGGAACCGATGTATAGAGGAGAGTTGACTGTGTTTTTAAGTGTGAATATATTCATTACTAGCATATTTTACACTGTGAATAAAGAACTCTGTATATATCATGCAGAAGATTTCATCCACAACATGCTCGCTCGCCACCGCCCTCGATGTCATATCTTCCTCTATGTGTCAAATAGACTCCATGTCTGTGTGTTCTCCATGCGCTGCTAAATTACGCGAAGCACGACTCTAGAATTCGGTATCATCACCCGCTCCAGCATCTGGGAGCTTAAAGGCGAGGGAAATGTCTTAAAACCTCGAGTAGTTCTCCGTGAGCTCCAGATTACTCATCGTCGTCCTGGATCGCTTCCGACAATGAAACCTGCAGCGAGCGCTCTTCCCTCGGCAATGCCTCGTGTGAGCAGTAGCGTAGTAAGGGGGGGGCGGACCGCCCCGGGCGGCATTTCCTACGGAGCATTTAGGGGCGGCATTTCGGGGTTTTGCATCCGAAAAACGGAGTGTTTTCGAGGAAAAAATATCTGGCGGGGGGCGGCATTTTCGTCGAGCACGGTGAAAAAACGGGAAATTTCGAATCACCGCCCCGAGCGGCACTCCGGCTCGCTACGCCACTGGACGGGAGAACGAGAGATTCGGAATGGCGGAAGGGGGAGAACGAGGGGATGGGAAGAAGAAAGATGATAGATCAGAGAGGACGGAGAATACACTGGAGGGTGTTGCGTAGACGGCTGGACGAGAAGAGTGTGGGAGAGCCCGCATTGACTCACAGCAGGAGAAGGAAAGGGAAAGGAGTAAAGGAGGGGGTTCGAGAATAAAAGACAGAAGAGCGAATGGGGGATAATCGGCAAAAGAATGGAAACGGGAGGATAAAGAGCTCAGGATAGCGAAGAGGAGCAGTGATAGAAGGAGGCACGCCTGAAGATCAGAGTATCTTCGGAGACCCGAAGATAGGAAAGACATCTCTCTTCTACGGTCTGTCTTGAATCGGTACCGCTCCACAGTCGCTCTCGAATGTATATCAACCAAAGGCCCGATATCGAGGACAGAAACCGAAGCAATATATGATGCTATCGAAGCTAGAGTCTGGACCAAACTGATCAAGAATGTTGCCGAAATCGTCGATTCGCTGTTGATGTTCGCAAACCAAGAACCAGAGTGATAGTCTCATACTGGACTTGAGTATGTTTACGAAGAAGTTCTGCTGAATACGCTCCTCTCATTCCGGATTGCTATGAGATCGAGTTATCTGAACACACCTTCATGTGAACGAAGCCTCCGTATAATCAAGTGAAGGAGAGAGAAGAAACTCGTGGGCTTCGGCATACAATTAAAAAACTGGGAGAGTCAATTGTAGCGAAGCGCGGGTTGCAAATGTCCAGGTCTCGACAGTGTTAGTGATTCGCAGAAAACGTCTGGCTCGACGTCGGATTTCAGGTCTACAGTGTAAGTCGCAGCGCGGCCGGGTACGCTGGCTCCTTATATATCTCTCGTGTACATCAAATTATGATAATACGGGTGACCATAAATTTATAGCTCTCTGATCTTCAGTGTCATCTCCGAGAGAAACGCTTAACTTAACGAAGGATCAACGAAAAACAATTTCGATGCCCGCCTGTATGTATACATGCAAACTACCTCAGTCTGCAGCAAATTGCCGGGCTCAGACTAGCGACCTACCGAACGGGACATCATTGCGGGAAATATCACAGATCCGCCCGAGGCGTGCATACTGCTCTGACCAAGCGACCAGAAGACAGTCACATTACCCGGTCATGATTCCTGACCTCCGCATGATATGGAAGATATCGTTCAGCGTATTGGATCTCCAGGCAGCGATGAATCGTCATTCAGATGATTCGCAGTCAAGCTCCGACTAGCTCCATACCGGCTCCCTCGTTATAGAGGGATGCTCTGAATCAAATACCTACGCGATCAATGATTCCCAGCTCGTCCTAACTCTCCTTTTCGTCGGACCCGCGACGTCCACGGAAATCACCTGCGATGATTCATCGGGTACTCACTCGGAACTACGACTCATCGTGACCCCCATACACTGGACTCGGAAGCCGCGACGACCATCGGATCTAAGGTGACGAGCTTGCACGCGACAGGTCGTCTGGATGTGCTGAGTCGTTCTGGGAACAGATTCAAGCGACAGGTCTATGTACATGCGAAGGCCCTTAAGGCCGTTCGAATCGCAGAGCTATCTGTCGTAAGATGTACCGATACATCGATTCTTCTTCCTGCGAATTCGCCTGATTTCTCGACGTGATTACTCGCCAATGAGGCTGAGGAAACGGCGGGATCGTTGCTTCCAAGTTATTCAGACTCCTCGACTTTCACTGCCTGTCGAATGTCAGCCCTCGGAAGCTTTCCTCCTCCTCACCGACGGAATTTCGCCGAAAATGCACTTTCCATCGCTTCCCGTGGAGTGGTCGTAGACCTCAGAGCAGCAACATCATTCTGAATAGGAATTGCGTTACCGGAATGTCGCCTGGGATGTCGAAAATCCACACCGAAGACGGCGGAAAGGTAATATTCAGAATGCATTTTACAATCGTTCGCCCGGGGAGCAGTCGCTCAACTCGTGGTCCCAGAGGGGGGCATATTCCCAACCCTAAGAGACCTTCGCATATATGGGAAGTCTCTTGGGAGGGCGGATCGCGATGTGAATTGCGGGGCTATCAAGGCGAACGTTTCTTCGAAGTGCCCCCGGGAGATTCGTGATCAAACGAGCCGAAATGTATACGGAGCGCGCACGTTTGAGAAATGAATTTCAGACGATCCTCAGGGTCCGCGAGACGTGCCAACTGAATATCTGGGGAGAATTGCTCAAAGCAGTCTAAATCATGTTTCTCCGAGGCTTTCCGAAGCGTAATCCCGGGAAGGCGTGTCCATGGACGCGAAACATTTCTGCGCGTCAGGTCGCAGTTTATCCCGGGGAACCCGCTCGTCACAGCTCGAGAATACACTCAAGCTTCCATTGATGGGGAGCGGATTCGGGTTGAGGATGAGTGGGGACACAAGTTCCATTGGCGGGCTGATGAGGGAAAGATGGACGTCGTGGAGCTCTGCGTCACAAAGCTCGTGACTACGTATCTATCTAATTGTAAGACAGGCTCACAGCGATCGGGCTTGTCCCGCTCCCGAACCCTAAACTCGGAAGCCACGATTCGGATGTAGACGTCTTAATGTGATGAAGCAGACAATCGAGAAGCTCACTAAATACAATAGGCTTCCGTTAGCCAAGTAGCGACTCTGTTCCGCTTCGACTTATGCGAAGATGTCCCGCGATGAGGAAGAAAGTCCCGCGATGGGGAAGAAAGTCCCGCGAAGGGTTGGGCGAGAGGCAGGATGATCCTGGGTGACGGACCGTGGGAACATGTAGATGCATCAAGAGATAAGTTTCATGGATTCAAGAGCCGAGACGGTGTAACTCCGATCCTATCGTTATATCAGCAAAAATCAGCCCTGGAATCGGAGGGTACACTCGAGAGGTAGATCGCCCGATCCGTTCCCGAGTCCGAAGTGAGCGAATCATCATCGATGATGCCGATATCATGCGTATCGACATTTGTGAGGGTTCACCGAGATATTTAGTTCTGGGAGATTCGACGTCGCGCAGTTCTTTTGGGCATTCAAGTCTCTGGATTCGATTTTCAGAGCCGCGAGCTCGCTCCATCGAGAGTCGAGGAGGAATCACATGAGCGGCGAGGCGACCCTTTCAGAAAAGTGAGATTTTGTTTCACCAATTCTATCCACCAGGAGAACCAGAGGTCCTATCTGAGACCCGATCGGTAAAGGGGAACAGGTCGGAATCCTTCCCAGCATAGGTCGGCTTTTGTCAGAGCGTGGGTGATTGAGCTCTCCCTAGCCGTGGCCTCGTGGAGGGATCTCTTTAGCAGAATGTTCACCGCCGAGAATCTTTGGTGGCAGATCGAGGTTGTCATCACCGATCAAAAGCCGATATGTTTTGGGAGGTCTCCCGAGTCCGCGGACGCTCTCGAACGAGTCCTTGAGACTTGAGAGGCCCAGCGAGACCGAAATCTACTTCATCTGAATGATATCTACATGTATAACTTCTTGCCAGAGCAGAAGCGTCGACGTACAATATTTACTCGTCGGGTCCACAAATCCACTAGGGACCAGCTGTAGGACACATATTGGCTCCCTCTGTACATATCAATCACCTTCATGGCTACATTAGCAAGTAAGTCCTGAAGCATAGTGCTCGAGCACGCGAGCAAGGTCCTGACTCATCCGGCTCCATCCGCGAAGGACATCGGTCTCAGTCACTTCGGTCACTATTCTCGTGTCCTATGTGATATAGGAAGGGATGATATCCACGATCTCAAACCGCCGCGATGATCACGAAACCTGCAGAAGATAGCCTCCGGTGATCGTGGACTACGAAAGAAGTCCCGCATGGCAATCACTCCCCGGTGCTTCTCGAAGAAGCTCCTCTGACAGGCGTCTGCTGCTCGCTCAATCCGGAAGGAATGCTCGCCCAGTAAGTTCGGGAGAAGATATCAGGAGGAACTGCGAAGATTATTAGAGCGCGGGACCTATTACAGGTATTATACAATCACGTGCCCTCGAAGCAGAGATGTTTCCCGAAAGCTCTCGATAGCGGCACCGATTCGTTGGGGGAACAAGCGCTGGACCTTGCCCGCATACTTGCGCCCCTATCGGTGAGGAGAGACTATTTCGTGGAAATATAATTTCCAGCACAATGGCTCATGCCGCACCCTCGCCGGATGTCTGGAGTCGCGCCATCGGTATCGCCGAGCGTGACAACAGGGAAACTAGGGCACTCGGTTTCAATCCACTCATTCCGACTAGTTCGCCGCTCATTTCGCCCAACGGGAGGTCCGAGGACCGAAACTCGCATGGCTTACTCTCCGCGCAGTCGCCTCGGCCGCCCGAGGGCGCTGGAGTACAAGGGAAACAGGAGCCCCGAACTCAGGAGTCTCGGACTGGCTGACTGTACGCCATCTTGCTTCGGAGGGCGCTTACATTGACTGGAGGGTACGTGAAAGTGGAAGCCTGAGTTAGTCATTCGACGGCGTGGGAAATCGCGCGTTCCTCGGGAGATTTTCTGATCCCCACGGAACATGACGTCGTAGGACAACCCTTGCCCGATAATTGTACAAGGTAGGCACGGTCTATGTAACCGAGAAAAATTCGGCTAGGTCAAACGGGAGATGAGGGATAGAATGGCTAGTATATCGTCGAGGTTCGCAGACATTCTATTTACCTGGGACAGCGGAGATTCGGAAGCCTATAGGGGTGGGAAATGGGACTCTTGGGACACCCATCAAGCATCTATCCGAACCAGGCGAATGCGGAGTCGTCCGACACTATCCGGATAGAATGGAAAGCGGGATTCTCGTCCGATTGACAAGCCTTGTACAGGATTCGATTGACCGAATTCATTCGCACCTGAGTTTCACGCCCAGAGGGCTCACCTACCAAGAAGATCTCGTGCTCGCCAAATCGTTGCTGCCTCCCATTTCGAATTTGTTTGAGAAATTCATGCGGATGACTGGTTGCCAACTTTCCTGCGAGAAACTCGGGTAGTGGGGACCCTAAGAACTTTTCAATAGACCCCCCGAGAGATTCGAGTCAGGCATGAATGAGGAAATTGAATGAGCGGAACGTGCCAGTGTCGACGAACTAAAATGGCATGCGGGAAATTCGGCAGGTGTGGATGAACTTTGACGAGTTCTTCCTGTGGCTGATTTCTTTCGAGGGATGTCTAAGGTTGCAAAAAGTGGATTGAAGTTCGTAAAGAAGAGAGTAGCTGGACATAAGCGCTCGGCTGAGGTTAGTGCTATCAGGAACCGCTGGCATGGCAATTGGAGACGTTTTCCGATTTTTTTTCCCGTTGGAAAATTCACACGTTCGCCTGATGAGGAACGCGTTGTAGAGCGAGATGCCGCTGAGTGCTTCACTTTCATGATTATTTAGGACGCTTATCGATCGCTCTGGCAGCTCTCGAGCTCCAGAGGAGACAGAGAATCAGTCCTGCGAAGAGGTTTCCCGCATGCTCGAGATAGACGGTGTTCGACCTAATCGAGCGCGGCGGAAATGCCTTAGACGAGAGTCAGAAGATTCAACACGTGATTTTCCTTCACAGGATATCGAGGACGAGGCGTACGAGAGAGAACTCGCTATCCAAGCGGCAAGAGAAGCCGGACTCGCGAGCAACGTCCACCCGTCTCATCAGGTACTCGAGAATGAACACTTCCACTTCGTCAATGGGAAATGAGACGCACTTTGAATGCTTTCTGAAGAGGTCTAGGGTCTAGGTTCGACGGGATGAGCGACTAATTCGATGCTGGGAGCTTTTCTCCACGTCGGTGCGACGCCTGTGTCCACATCGGCTCCTGTGAATATGAATAGCGCGGGCGCTCGGATTCCGTCTCCTCTGGATCCACGCGCCATATTCAAGACCGAAAATTTTCCAGGCTCAGACCGTTCTCCCGCCGAAAGCGGAAGAAGATGAACTCGCTACCGCTCAAGCCGCCGTGCCTCAAGATCCATCGGTTAGTTCTCGACGACTAGACGCCTTCAGCATGAAGCCGTCGTGGCATCGATCGCCTCCTCGACCTGATGACACCGGGAAATATTTTCGCGACGAGCTCACATCTGACACGGATGATTATCTCCTCTCGTGATCATTGAGCCTAGTCCGCTGTTACAGGTGAAAAAGTCGAGCGAGGATTGGGAGTTGTTCAACAAATTATTGGGCAAGGTCGAAACCACTGTGCAGTCGACCAGACAGACCATCGAGAAAGTCGAGGAATCATCAGTGGTGGAAGAAATTATCGAAAAAGAGAGAAAATCGCAAGTTGTGGTCCCCGAATACAAGGGCATAAAATCGTTTGAAGAAGCGAAACGAGAGAAAGAAGAACGAGAGCGGGAAGCACTGAGGCAGCGTCGAGACGCCGACGGTTTGTACACAGATCTCCCAAATTAGGTCACTCAATTCTATTGTCTCGAAGACCACATCATCTGACCTTCAAGACCGGGTCGCTGGTATTACAGATTGGGAACGTGCTTTTGAAAGTACTGCCAAGAAATCCGATGATCTTTTCCTCGGCGACTCCGACGAGCAGTCCAGACTCCCCTTCGCTAACTTCGGGTTAGTTCTGAATGAGAGAAAACATGACGAGTTTCATCCCGGAGTCCGGGACCTCGGGACGTTTCTGTACCCGTGACGATTCCGGTTGTGCGCGTGAAGAGAATCCTCAAGTCCGCCCGATTTCCATTCAGCTCTTCTTCCTCATCTTCCGCCAAACCGAATATACCTGCTGAAGTCGATCCTTTCGACACCGCATTCATTGCTCCGATCCATAACACAAGCGCAGACCCAGCCGCGTCTCTGAACTGCGAACCAGATCCTTTTGATACGAAGACGATCGACGCCCGTATCGAGGAAGTGAGTCGATTTTTCCTTCAACCGAATCATACGCAGGTGATGATGGGATATGATATCGATAAAATCCTCCTGTTGCTGAATCTGCAGGTTGAGAAGCAAACCCAGCGTAGAATGTCCCTGTCTGGATCCGCGAACCCCTTCGGAGCTCCCACTGGAGTTCAGGCCGACCCGAATCCCCGCGCGCGTCCGCCGTCGCGACCCACGGCGGGCTCTTCCTTGTTCAGCTCTACCGAGTGTTCACCCGTAGAAATCCCGGATGACGTACAGAATTTCTTCAAAAATCATTCACGAAGGTCATCCACAAATCCTTTCGACCCTCCTGAAATCGCGGCGATCGAGCCGCTTAGCACTGAGGACACCATTCGTACCGGTGCAGCTCTCCTCCAGGCGATTGCCAGCGAGTTCGCGAACAAAGACGATGACGAGGACCTCTTCCACAAGTGAGTGGGCTGGACCCATCGACTGCTCTAGTCGACTGTTTCGTTGTAACGCTATTTTCGAGCCGAAGTTCAAATCCTCGAGTTGATGAACGGGCGAACCCTTTGCAGGACTCTCGCCAGTAAAGGTCAACTGCCACCTCCCTCTCCGATGAGCCCCTTCTCTGATACAGAGAATCAGGATCAGAACGTCCAAATGCTCTTGGACATCGGCAACTCGAGTGGGAGCAGTGCCTTGAAAGGTGATCCCTACTTTCGAATTTTCGTTTTCTCCTTCTGAGCCCAGTCTTCAGGATATCCACTAAGCCGTGATGGAGCTCATAGTCCACGAGGCTGCCGGCGATTAAGTAAGCGGTGGCGTCTTCCACAGCGACGGAAGCTCCGGTCGATCCGTTCACGGGTTCAGGAGCGCCGACCGTGGGCGCTCCTCCATTAGCTCCGCAAGCTGTGCCTGCGGCAGCGCCACCAACTGTCCCCGCGGACGCGTTCCAGCTGGCTTTCGGCAAGAAGAGTATTGACCTGGACGATGTGCCCCCGCAAGCCCAAACAGAACTACCCCCTGGACAGGTTCCTCAGGCCTTACAGAGCGTGAAGGATTCCTTTGACCCCTTCAAGGGACGTCAACAAGGCCTCGAGTTGCCCACGAATATTCCAGGTGAGTTCGAAGCTCGTCGCTCATTGGATGTGCGGGATGATGTTGAGCATGGCAGGTGTCTGGTGGTTCCGAGCAACGGGCTTCATAATACGATTTTTGATCCGACAGCTCCAGTTTCCGGAGCTCCGACTCCGGGCTCGGACGTATTCGACAACGAGCTTCGTCAGCAGGAAGAGGAGCTCTTCGGTTCCAAGACCTCTTCGGGGGTGAAGTCGCCCCCGGAGAGACCCGCCGGACCGCCGAAACCAGTGCAACTAGCGAAAAACGAAGGTTTGTTCAAGAACTCGTTCATAGTTACGGAAAATTATATTCTCATCCGAGAGGCACTTGCATCTCCGATGGAAACTAGAATACTTATCCCGAATTACGGTCACAGCTCGACGTCGGAGTGCGCCACGGGACGAAATCACTCAAGCGGGCAGCCTACCCATCGCCCCGCGTGTTCTGGATGATACGAACCCGTTCTCCCCGAAAAATTCCCCTCCAGACTCCACAATAGCTCCTATCCCGAAAGTGCCCAGTGTTGAGAAAACTTTCGATCCCCCTCTAACGACGCCACTTGCGGAAGTGACATCACCGGAGAATTCGACGTCTATTGCCGCGTCAGACCGCAGAGGGTCTCGAGACTCGAACCCTTTCAGCCCTACCGCGAGTTTCCCACCCGCGCCGGTTGGAATCAACAATCCCTTCGGCATGGACTCCGGTTAGTCGGAAACCGTTTTTTATCTTTCCATGACCCCCGATTGAAGTTCTTGGCTTCTCATACCGATCGGAACAATGGAATCTCAACGCGGAATCAATTCCAGACGCGGCTCTTCCTGCGACAGAATCGTTTTCTTCCGCGTATGTCGCGCCCCTCGCAACGACGCATACCTCTGGTGATCCGTTTGATACGTCGTCGATCATTCCTGCTACCGGTGAGTGCCACAACAAAATCCCAATGTTGAGTTTCGAATCGTCCATTCCCGAGAAATCGAGTGGAATCTCGACGAGACCTTCTTCCCACCGCAAGAGCACTTCTCTCAATTGAGGTCTCGGGTGATTGGTCGACCGGAGCTCTTCATGGCGAATCCGCATACCTTGCAGATAAAGGTACCTTAGACGCTTTCGCATCGAAATTCGCCGGGACGGGCGGAGCGTCAACGGCCAGTGATGCTTTCGGTGGGGTTGGGGACGTGGATATCAGCGGAGGCTTCGGAGGAGACGGTTTCCAGAGTGACTCAGATTACCTCGGCGACGGAAGCATCCCTCTGCCTCAAGTACCCGACAACACCCCTGTGAAGAGAGCGAATTTCGCCGATTCCAAAGATTCATTCGATGACGACGATGATGACGAACAGGAACACATGAAGATCACGATCAGACCGAAACTCCGACCTCTCGGCATCTCCACCGGGGTGCCGACGTTGGCAGCACCTCCGAAGCTGCTCCCGCCGCCCAAGAGCCCTCTGCGACAAGCAGGCTATCAAGTGCAACCGGATCGCTTCAATCCGTTCGAAAAGGTGCGCAATCAATTCGCCGATTTCATAAGACAATCCTCTCCTTTACGTATCCCTTCGATCAGATTTTGGAACGACATCGTGGAGGTCCCGGCCGTGAATGATGGAGACTCTCCTCTTTGAACAGGGATCCCTGAGAACGGCGCAGGCGGCAGATGACCAGCTCTTCAGTGCATTTGAAGACGCTCTGAACGATACGATCACCGTGGACGTCAAAGAGGAAAATTTGCCCCCGGCTCTCGGCGAATCGGGCGCGAAACAAGCCGAACCTCTCTCCCCGTCGACTCCTCTATTCGACGAAGATACCTCGCAACCTCTACCGGAATGGAGACCGAAGAGGGATCTCAATGACGGTTGGGAATTCTATCTCCGCTGGCCCAACAAGAAGAAATTCACCGGTAAGAGCTCCGAGCGATCATTGAAACAAGTTTACGAAGAATCTCCGCTAAGGAACTCGATCTCGAGACGAGCGATCCTTCGGCGCTGATTCTGATGCATAACTCTCGGGGCATGACACTTTGCTTTTGTTCGAGTAAACACTCGAGATAGTGGATTACGACGATCAGGCCGAACTTTACAAGCCGGAATCCCGTAAATTTTCGAAACTCTCCGAAGGCACCCGGTACTGGAAACCCGTGTATGTGAAGTTCGCCGACACAACAATCCTCTGGGTGATGAACAAGAAAGACGATTCTGACCCAATCCAAGAAGTACGTCGATTATCTGCATCCATATTCATAGGCTCCGATGATGAGGACGCGATGCTTGAGAGTTGATCACGGATATCTGGCTCTTGTAGGTGCCTCTCCAAGGCTGCTACTCCTTGTCGGAGATGGCCCATCAACCGCTGGATCAGTTCAAGAAAATCTTTACCATCAAGCTCCAGTACACCTTCTACAAGGAGACCGTCGGCGTCCGTAAAGGCCAAATAGCCAAGATAATTTCGGGACAGGTAGGGCTCAGTCACCGTATATCGAAATACCGTTGTGGATAATGCTTGAAACTTCCGCCCAGACAGCTCTGGAAATGACGCTCTCATACTCGAGTTCATCTGACTCAATGCGTCAAATTTAAGGTAAATTCAATGGGATCGGTAGCGAAGCTAGGTCTCCCACTGCAACACGCTCCACAGCTCACAGAACTACTGAAACTAGGAACCGCCGATATAGAAACCGTGCGAACATTCGTGCAAGTCATCGAAGACGTCCTATACGGGTGAGCAACGATCAACAATGGGCCTTCTGGAGAATGTTCTGAGATGTCTCCCGCACTTGATTTGATTTTGGAATGACTCCATCCTTGTCCCTCCCAGACTGCAGATTCACCGGGACCGTGCTTTGACATACAAAGCCGAGGAAATCCAAGCGATGGTCGTCGACGAGTACGCTGTGACCGTGGACAAGACGGGACACGTCTGTTCGCAAAAAGCCCGAGTTCGGCTGTTCTTCTTGGCATTCGTAAACGGAATGCCCGACGTCGAAGTCGGCATCAACGAACTCAGTCGTCAGGGCAAAGAAGTCGTTGGGAGACATGACATCATGCCCATCGTCACCGAAGAATGGATCCGAGTGGAAAACTACGATTTCCACTCATGCGTTGACCTTGAAGAATTCGAAAACAGCAGAGTCATCAAGCTCCGACCACCCGACGCCACTTTCTTCGAGCTGATGCGTTTCCGAGTGCGTCCGCCTCGTCAGAGAGAGCTTCCGATTCAACTGACGGCTGTGCTCAAGGTGAGAGGATGAAGTAGTTATCGCCCTCGGTCGGAACGATTTCATATCCATGAGAATAGACTCAGCTCTCCTGACGAAAGTCTCCTGTGGCCCGAGAATGTGCGGGTTAAATTATTATGCCTCGCTCTGCAGGTCAACGCACCGAAAGTGCAATTGAAAGCTGAGGTACTTGTGCCCGGATATTCCTCGCGGAAGCACGGTCAAATTCCCTGTGAAGACATTGCAATGTTCTTCCCGATCCCCGAATGTTGGGTGAGTTCTGCTCGGAGAGGCTCTGCGAGTTTCGGCTTCGGAGAGCTTCTGAGAAGCTGTTCTATAACGATAGGATCAGACTCTTGGTTAGAAGAGAGAGACGATGAAAACCTCGTTCATCGGTGCAGGTATATCTGTTCCGCGTGGAGAAACATTTCCGCTACGGTGCGCTGAAAAGCACCAACAGACGCCACGGGAAAATCAAAGGTCTGGAGAGGATCATGGGCGCCGCTGCTGGCGGGAACATCGAGAAACAGCTCATAGAGGTCACCGCTGGCCAAGCGAAATACGAGCCCGCACACAGGGCCATCGTATGGCGAGTGTCTCGACTGCCCAAAGAAGGTCAGACCTCTGTCCGTCGGGGTCTCCACTCCATGGATTCTAATACTGGAGGGTGTCCAAACGCATTCAGATCCCACTTTCTAACAACCGATCGTCTCGAATCTCACGATGCTTTTGTCCCCAGGGCAAGGTGCATACACACAACAAATGATGACGGTCGATTTAGAGCTCACTTCATTCGATCAAATCCCTTCTGAATTCGAAAGCGATCTCAGAGTCGAATTCACGATGCCGGCGTCAACTGTTTCGCACACAACAATTCGCTCGATATCTTGTCCGACGGACGCCGATCTTCCCGTCGAAAAATACTGTCGTTACATCGCAAAGCACGAATACAATGTGAGTGGAACGCGGTGAGCGCGATTCCCCTACCGTGCTCTCCTCCCCATCGCTCCGCTCATTCCTGTGCATTCAAACGATCATCACGAGTCCACGAAGCTGCGAGTCTTTGCGTCATCCTTGAACATTATCGATGGAAAGCGAGCTCATGGATATTTTATCTGCAGGTGGAAATGGATGTGCAAATCGGCACTGGTCCCATGGAGCCCACTCAACCCGCCGTCACTCGCGTCGAGGCCAAGCAACCCGTGCCCGGAACACCGCCGGCCATGGTGCGGCAAACCGAGAACGCGGGTTCTGATTCCGAGTACTCTGATTAGAGTCATTGAACGTTGAAAGGAGAAATATATTGTCTGCCCGGCGATCCCACGAATACGATCGCGATACGAACAATAGGACGCCATTGCATTCAAACGTATGCACAGCGTAAAGTCTCCTGACATGATTGTCGCAAGTGCCACTTCACCTTTACGCAATCACACATAGTGTCAAGTGGAAGTTCAAGCTTTTGATGAGCCGCGCAGTACCGAGGGATATGGCAGCGAGGAGCCTGATGTAGAATCGGACTGCGATCAGTCTTGGGACTACGACGACGACGAAAAGGATGGGAATCGCAGCTCGGGACCGAAATCGCATGATCTTGAAAAGCTCTGGCTCTCTCATGTCTTGATCGATGTCTATAGCGAACTAGAAACCTGGAACAAATCTCTCGTGACGCTTTGTTCTCATGTGTCACGATCCCTTGTGTCTTCGAGGAGCCGAATCGGCCCTCTCGCTGTTTACGGATAGATATCTGAGGGATCTTATCCATCGCTGCTAATCGGACTCTTTTAGACTACTCCTTGTCGCTGTCTGCGGAGCAGATACGCTAGCTTCCATCAGCGGAAACCCGTGAACTCCATTGCGAATCCGTAGGAAATTATTTCCAGACCGTAAATTTCCATTGCTCACTGTCGCCTCCTGGATAGAACTCAATCGATTTATGATTATCCCCGTCGGGTCGTCACAGAGACCTGACGATTCGGTTAGATTGCACGCGGGCCTCAGATCGTTTCCCGAATTTGGAGAAGTCCTCATTCCGAAAAGTAGCCGGAAATACCATATGAGCCCTTTTCACGCACATTAAGTACCAAGCGTATTGTTTGATGATTCGCGGACTATCTGGACCATGGTCCTACTTACAGCTGAAGACGACAGGAGCGAAAAGGAAATCGCCACGATTGCGTTTGGGTCTAAATAGAATGAGCCATGCCCGTCACCCTCTAATGCGGCTGGGCCTTCTTTTCATTTTGTACACGCATGTTATATGTCGAATATTGCGGTTTCCGTTCATTTGGATGTCTTGAGAATCTGGTACTGTACATATAAGTTCTTCGCGGCTCAATTAAGATATTAAGTCGGTAGAATCTCTCAAGAGCGCCGATAGACACGAAGGATGCTTCATTTCTTTCTTTCTGCAGATATTATTACTGTTGATGGAAGCTCACGGAATCCTGACCCGGAAATGATTGCTGGCTCTTAGATGAGCTCGTATCGACTCGGCAGATGCGTCGTAATTTGTAACTGCTGACGAAGACTCTCCCGAGGACCGACCTTCAAAAGGCACAGAATGTCGCCTCATGTTGAAGATTCCGATCTCAGGGGGAATTGTTCCCAGTCAACAAGTCACCCTCTTTAGTGAGCTATAATTTCGCTAGAAAAAAAAGGGCATGATGAGGCCCTGACTTACCGGAAAATATACCAGTGAATATCACCCGCGAGAAGTGAGAAAGTTTGTTATATTCCCCGATTGATTGTTTGTTGATGTTGAGAGACCGAGTGTGAGTTTTTGTTGCAGTCGTTGCGTTGAGCCTCTATGAGCATGGATCCGTCAGGGGGGGGGAGACCCCACGACGGCGGTCCGGCAATAACAATCGGCTTCCGCATGAAAGTTCCGACTCTAAATGTCTGCTGGAGAACTCGAGATGCTGCGACGCAAAGAGCATTGCATCCGAATTAGTCCAGTTGATGTTGTATCAGTGAATTATATGGTCTATACACTTTTTAGGTCCGTTGATCGGACTGTGATAGTTGTCGAGGAACATCACGATGATGCATATTATCCATGGTACGAAATCACCTGTTCGGAGATCAACCTCAGAAATATCTCTCAGAGACCGTACCCAAGTGAAAACAATGACCTGCAGCGGATAAATATTTGTGGAATGTGTCGGAGCCAGGATACGGGGGATACCTTACCCTCATGTTACAGCACGGAACTGGAAATTTAATCTATAGTCACGGCAGATTTGTAGAAGACATACAATAATGATAATAATATCAACAATAACTGTGTGAGCCTCTGTCGGAAGCTATTGCAGACTCCCTCATACATGGAGAAAACCGCGGAAATAAAACGAATTCACGGTTGAGACTCGTCGACCTGGCTACATTCGTTCTGGTCCGGTGCGCCCGAAATCCACTCATAGAGATATAGAGAGAGAGAGAGTAGTATGTCACCAATACCGAATCCTTTCGCCATCGCATTCGAACCTCTTGCAGACCTGACACGGAAAAGGCAGCGGAAACGTCAGGCTGTCGAATGGCCTTGCAGACATGCAAGGATAGTGAGCGAGGTGAAAAGAGAGGATTCGCAGAGAGTAGAGCATATAAAGGTGAAAACGTAGGAGCGTTTATTACGGCGGAGTCGGTCCGATCTGAAGCTCAGACTCGATATAGAAACTTTATGTCAGATTTTTATCGATTTTCCTGTTTCCCCGACAGGATAGGCCTATACATGCCTCTGCGTCGTATATACACTGATATTCAAAGATACCCTGTCGTTCTGGAATGAAAGCTTTAGGTCTCGAGGAAGTCTCTCATCCTTCAGAAGTTCTCTCTTGAACCCCCCCACCGTATCGCAAGTCCTATGGCAAAAAGGATGTCACGAGCTCGTATCCGGGAAAGGGAGTTTAGAGGGATGCTGATACCACTGGAATCAGGAGAGAATGCTCTTTCCTGTAGAGAAACCACCAGCTGTGGATTTGAGTCCCATAAATCATGTTCCTCAGGGTCAAGGAAAAATGATCATTAAATTTCCGATGCTCGAGCATCTGTCCCTGCAGCCAGATCGAAGGAAAAACCCCGGCTTGCGGATATCAACCTGGAAGAGAAAGAAGTTTGCTATCAGACGACATCGGCAAGAAACTTTCATCTTTATTGATCCTCGACCGAATGCGTTCGATTCAAGTCGTGTCGTGTCCGTAAAGCGATTGAAGCAGCCAGGCGAAGAACCATGACAATGTCGACCAAGGCTTCAAAAACATCATCAACCGTGGTGCGTTGTGTCAACAGCGAGCGACCGATCCGGGGTCGCAACGACGAAGGACTAACATTGTGTTATGAGGAGCTGCGACCGATATGTTTTCCCTCTTTCTTTCTCTTCAATCCTTCCTCCAGCTCTTCGTTTCCGCCTAGCTCCTCCAGAAAGACTAGATTGTTCCGGTAAAAAGAACATCGCTCGGCGACTATAGCGGAGCGAGATTGTTCCGCGGTGGGATCGATGTAAAATGCATAAAAATGGCAATTGTGTAAATCTGACTGCGAGATTCCTAAGGGATCCTCGGTTCTGAATTCGAATCGAAGGATCATCGTTGACTGAAGTCAACTCAGTCTGTACCAAAGTATTTCTGTCCGAAATGATTGGGGGCCACGGGATGGACCTCGGTCGTCAAAATTGTGAGCTGAGGGAACGCGTCCGTCACGCACTTGACGGCTGGAACGAGAAGTTAATTTGCTTAAGTTTGATGATTGAGGGCTCGGAGAGAAGGAGGGCGCTCAAACGCACCCCCAAATGATGAGTCGGCTCGAATAGATGGGCAGAAAGATTTTTGATCGATCCAACGGCGGAGTAGAGGCATACCTTTTGGCGTACAAAACAAATTGAGCAATATGATATTCTCGGCTTTGACCCCATGATCCCGAAGTACCCTGGTCGCCTTGATGATCGTGTTGCCGGTCGACATGATCGGATACATGAGAAGGACTCGACGGCTCGCCACGTCTTCGGGGAACTTGGCGTAGACAACCTGAAACTCGCGGAACACGCACATTACACCGTTTGTCGGGATTGCTCCGCGGGACGAAGAGATCTACACTTGAGGTCAGGATTAGGCTGCGCGCCTGAGGACCTGCATCCTTCAAGCAGGTCGACTGCTGCATCGTGAAAAGATTGCCAGGTTCCGAGAAGGTCCAACGAGGCGAAATATACCGTAGGGCGAATTCTACCATTGATCGACCGACCGACCCACCTTGGCTTCATGCGTGTCTTCATTGGATTGGATGAGGATTTTTCCGATGCGGATGCTCCGACAGCAATCTCTCAAGCCTTTCTCCATGGCCTCGCCCGACCTCACTATCGACACTCCGCAGCCCCCCTTAACAAATCGGAGTCCCTCATACGTAGCTCCTGATAAGCAGATGGAGGGAAAAGTACAAATAGAGAAGTACAGCTACACGATGAACCTCTTGACCTATACCTATTGTGTCATGATCGATAAGCAAAAATCACGACAATTTCCGGGCAGGCTGGAAACATACCGATGGGGGTTATCACAGTTTGTGGCGTGTAGGGAAAATGATTGAGGCCTTCTTCGACAACCATCCGTATCTGGAACGGTAGAAATTCGACCGAATGAGACCGGCGCTCATCTCGCGAGCAAGCCGCTCCTGGAGCGCTTCTTTCGATCAGAGCTAGAGGAGGAAGTTCGCTTTCCAGGGCAATGTCTCAGTTATCTGTACTCACGAGTCTGTCGGCGTAGAAAACAAAGTCTCCCCGTGAGGTGTTCCTGGAATAATAATTTTGTGAGCTCGTGATAATTCTACCATGGAAACGGAATAGCCCGAAAAACCATTGCGTCGACCGCGACGCGGAGCGGCGCAAAGTTCAATCGCAGCATACTCGGCAGCGGTATCATGTCCATGCGCCGGTCATTGCGGTTAACATTTTCTATCACGATGAATACGCGACGGACGCCGAATTATCCGACGAGGCGACTGCACCGAGCTTTAACATTCTGGGTTCCTCTCCCGAGATCCATTCCTTGTCAAGCTGGTCGGTCGGGGATTCGCCTGAGGCTCCATCACCTCAACCAGCATAACCTGTCGGCACTTTCCAGTCAGCTGTTCGGCGAGGATCGGCGAAACTCTCGGAGTGTCACACAGGAAGCTCACGATTTGGGAATTCAGCGCGATGAGAATATCTCATCAATATCTGAATCGCAGAACTCACTCACTTCTCTCTGATGATCGTTTGTAGTTCTCTCGTTTGATTCGTGATTGGGATCAGCTTCACATTGTTCGAGATAGGCACGTCGCGCTTGGGCTCCTTGAGCGGACTGTGTTCCTCTTGAGGGACCACGTCCGGCTTCACCTCCGCCACTGGCATTTTGTGCAAAAAAAAGAAAATCTACACAGAGGGTGAACGATAAAACTACGAAGCGATCTCGTGTGGCGGGCTGAGGCACACGAAGAGAGAATGGAAATGTTTTCGCCGCTCAAGTGATCACAGCCGCTCTAGGGGGCGCTGCCGAACACCATCACCAGCTCTCCGCTCTTCGAGTCTGACGACAATGAGACGGCGGGTCAACTCCGGCACGAAATCAAACAGGATGACTCCGTGGTTCAGGAAAGCTCTGAGCCGGGGATCCGGGGGGAATTCAAGAGAGACAAATAAGCGAGAACGAGATCGTGAATTTTCTTCGGAGGAATTCTATGTGGAATCTAAGGAGCTCTTCCCCTCTTGGACTGTTGCGTTATCTTCCACAGGCTTCCCGCTCCCACTTCCCCCGCAACACCGGAGGCCCCGCTCTTTCGGATTCGGAGGAGGGCTTCAGTGTTGTTCCCCACCACAAGAGACAAGCTCGACTTGCGAGCGACCATGTTCCCTTGAGTGTTCAGAGTATCGGCACGCGCAGCGAACACAATTGTAAACTGTGATTCCGAAGGTTTGTGAAGCGACGATACGGATCAGTCCGAAGGACTGCCATCGTTCCTGCCGTTGTCCAAAAATTATGGGGGAGAATCGTCTCGATAAGCCAAGCTGCCAGCCGAAGGTTACGACGTATCTTAAGGACTTCTGAACTTCGCAAAAGCTTCTTTCGGTACTTCCAGTGCCATGTGAAAAGGCCTATCGTTCGCTTCGGCGAGCCCAACAATCGAGGACATGTCCCCAATGGTGGCGATGGTTTTCACCATTATTGGAGTCGTACTAGCCGTAGCCGCATACCTCTGCAAAAGAATTCAACGAGTCAAGCGGGCCAGGTTTGTTATTCCTCGCCTGAATTCTCAGTATCGAATTCGTCACGGGCATCTGTTCGAGAGATAATTGAAGCCCGAATCAGTGATAATTCCAGGCGCAATGGCTGGAAGTATTCGCGAGTACCCACACAAGGCGGTGCACCTGCAATCGGAACGGTTCCAAACAATTCCAGTACACCCGGCTTCCAGCCCGCACCGCAGTCCGAAACGGACTGCCTCGTCAGAGCATCGTCCTCCGACGAATCGTCCTCAGAGGCCTCCACAGATCAACCTGCAACTATTCAGGTGATGCGCACGATAATTTCCTAGGGGAAAGTCATTCGCCTCACCAGAAGGGGGGACCCCTGTGTCTGTAGAAGCATAAGGGTCACCTCGAGGCCTCATCAAGTTTCGGACTCAATTCTCGTACCCTCGTAGGCGAATTATTCAGGTTATCGATCGCCCTTGCATCCGCCGATGATACCACGATAAAAACCTTCGCTTGCAGGTCGAGACCGAGATGATGAACAAGACGGGTCCCAAGAACAGCCGGAAGTTCGTCGAGCAGGAGACCGACGAGGAGTTATTGCAGTAAAAATGTACAAGCAACGTCAAGCTCCTTCCCGTTAATGTCTGTCATCTTCGCCCAAGGCTTCAATGAGCTCCCGGCACTCGAACGGAAGTGTTCTGTCTTCGCCGGGGGCATCTGACTCCACTCCTCGGCTTGAATTGACGGGAGGGGTTTGTAGCATGAGCACAGGTCGCGAACGAAAAACTCCGATATAATCGATGACAATCGGTTTCAGGCTGTGGAGAGGCAGTCTCCGAGATTTTTCAGAATCATCTTTCAGTCCCGATCACTGTCAGCAGCGTCGGTATCGCCTCGGGGACACGGAGGTCTCATATCACGTCTGCGCATTTTTTCCACTTCTTTTTCTCTGTCTTTATCCGATCGAGAAGGTGGTCTTTGATACGAAGGGAGAATTTGCGATCAGATTGCAGAGGGAGCTCCCGCCGGATCGATACGGGTTTTCTTCGTTGAATATAAAGAGATCACGGCAAAGAGACTGGGAAATAAAGTAATTTTATTATATCTCTGTATCGCTGGTCTTCCATTGGAGGCGGTAATATCCTGGAAATTGTTCAGACATTTGTGTGGATTTCCATTTTGATCTAGACCCGGCGATGAGAGTTTGAAAAATTATTCAATCGTTGAGTAAACTCCCGTTGTTCTGAACAATTGGAAAATTTGCATATTCACATTCCTATCGAAGTTGGAATAATTGTGAGAGCAATTCTTGCTACTTTCGATCTGACTCTCGGATCGGAACCCTGTTGTATTCGTGGTTATCGAACGACGAGATTCCGTATGGATGGTTTCCGATGCTTAACGAGAATGGAAGTCATCTACGCGCGGCTGATAACGCTATTCGTAGTTCAGTTCGTATTGGATCACGTAGCGGCCTATACACCAGTGTCTCCGCGTTTCAAGAATGTCTGCGCGCTGTCCCCTGAAAAGATCGAAGCTCTCATCTCCTGTGGTGAAGATTTTGCCAAAGCTGACGGTCAGATGGGTGTCGTGGAAGCGTTCGATGCTATGGTAAGCATTGTTGAGGGTCGGAAATTCTCCCATATCGGTCATCCATCCTGATATTTTTATCCTCAGCCATTGACAACCTCGATCCCTAACCTCAAGAACTCTGATCGTCTGTCTGTGTCGAAAGTCTCTTCTCGGAGCCGATCTCTCCGTCGAACAGTGACCAAGAACTCGGCGAGTACCTTCACTTTACAGATGAAACAAGTCGGATCTCTCTCGCGAGCCGATGTGGTGAAAATGGCATGCCGATCTGTCGGAGATGATGGAACGATTATAATGGCTGAGTACATGGACACAGCCCCTGCTTCTGCAGGTGTCGGTTATTTCAACAGCATGCTGTCAGCCTGTGGATACGACGGATAGTTCCGGGAATATGGCCCGTCATCCTCGAAGTCTATTCTGCAACAAATGGAATTCGGAACTCATTAGCTCGTGGGAGGGATTCTTGGGAGAAATAGCGAGCATGGAGAGTAGGGAGAGGCTTTTGACGAATTCCTCAAGTCCGGCGATTCGTGATGCGGAGTGCCCAGCTCTATTCGGCGGCGCAGACGGGGACCGTTCTGAGTGAACGACTGACCTGTATCCCAAGAGTGTACGTTCCTACGCAAACCCCTGTTTGGCCTGGCAATAAAAAACCAAATGGATGTGCGAGCTCTATCCACCTCATTCTCTTGTTCGTTCTAATCGTCACGGTCAAAAGACACGAGCATTTTAACGATTTCCCCGATTGCAGTCCTCGTCTAGCCGATATTGGTCCCGTTCTCGAACTTGATCGTCGAATCGATTCGATATCAGAGCATCGGGAGCTAAGCGATCGGCGCGTCGTACTTCAGCAGCGACGTCGCGTCGTCTCGAGCATGTTCTCAGAAAGCACGCTCCACGTCGGATGTGGACGCCAGGCTCCGCATGATCGCGGAGAAACAGTCGTGGTTCTGCTCAGATCGTAGAGGAGTTGCTCGAGATGGATCCTTCGAAGGAACTGGTGCGTGGTGGATTCCCAAATCCCACAGAAGCCCAACCAGAAGCCAAAGGATTTGGCCATCAGTGGATCGCAACCCTCGCCGGCCCACAGCTGACGGGTCACGCCTCGACCCTGCTCGGGAAGTTCATATACATTTTCGGAGGCTGCCGTCTGCAAAACCTGAGCCGAGACCACGAGCCAATAGAGATCCTAGTCCTGAACACGGAGACATTCCAATGGAAGATACTCGACCCACCGAAGCAGCTACCGGAGGAGACTCCATTCATGCGCTTCGGCCACACAGTCGTCGAACATAACGGATACGTCTATCTGTTCGGCGGTCGTAGTTCTCTGGAATTCTGCAGCGACCTGTTCCAATACGATCCCGTCGCTCATCTCTGGAAGAAGATCCGAACTCATGGCACACCGCCAGAATCTCTAGTTGGCCACACAATGAACGTAATCGGTGACGTCGCCTACGTTTTCGGCGGTCTACGCAACCACCAGAATAATTGTACTCAGCAGATGCTCGCCCTGAATCTACGGGATTTCCGCTGGTCCTTCGTGGCGCAGAACGGAGAGATTCCGTCAGCTCGTTATTTGCACCGCGCAACTGTGATCGACAAGAGAATTTACGTATTCGGGGGAAATTACAATGCCACTGAGAAGAGCCACTACGACGCATTTTTCTATTTTGACTCGGACACTCGGACGTGGCACAGAGAAGGCGCTCGCGAGGCGACGCCCCTCGGTCGGAGGAATCATTCAATATTTGCGTACAGAGGCAATATTTTCACCTATGGAGGCTGGTGCATCGAAAGTGAGGAAACCAGCGTCGACATGCGCCGTTTCGACACCCAAACAGGACGATGGGAGGAATTTGAAGTCGGAGTTGGGGCTCTCGACATTCCATCAGGCCGTAGATCTCACACCACCGTCGTAGTGGGAGATCGCTTGTTTGTGATTGGAGGCATGGTGCTAACCGAGGACGACTGCTTGAACGTGACATTCGACGACAATGACGACGACGATGATGTCCGCCTTCAGGATTTACGGAAGGACAACTTCGTAGTTCTCGATTTTAGACCCTCACTGAAGACATTATGCATGACAGAAGTTGCGCGAAACGATTCCGATCGGAGCGAGCTCCCGCGGAACGTCCGACTGCAAATGTCCCGAATGTTCGATGGAGGGAATTTGGCGCGCGTAATCGAGCGGGGAAAATGATTTTCTCGGAAAGTATTCATTGTGAAGGAGCGATTTCGAATTCCTGAATCTATTGTGTGAAACCAAAAACAAAAAGCGTATAAGCTAAAACCGAATTCAGATCCGTCCGTCGAGAGCAGACTTGTGACTACGAAGACGGAATTCCGGCTCTCGACGTTTTTCTTCGCAGGACAATTGACAGAAAAGAAAACTCTCGGGAATAGAGGAAAATCACACCGATTCAATTTTGAGAAGGCATGATGCATGTATGCAAATATACTCGATGTTCGAACTATGTTCAGGTCGTTTCATCACATCGCAGAAAGATCGTATTTGATTCGTGGTGGATATACATAGTTACAGTTTACGGGGAACATTCATTTCAGCTCCCCTGCCTTTCCGATCGCTTCTTCTTCTTTCTACGTTTCAGTTTCCCTCCTTCGGGAAGTTCCCTGGAATGAACTTTCGGCATATCGGATCCGAACGGGACGAACCGTTGACAGGCATCCTGAAACCCGAAGATTCCGAACCTCAGATTCAGTCGACTTCAGAGAGCTTCTCGGATCGCTGGAGCCTAGCGTCACCGAATTACTTGAATGAGGGAACTTACGGTGCGTGGAGCGCTTCGTTTATCTTCGGGAAGGGCGAACTCGAGCTCTGGAACTTCAATTCGTTCACGGAAGCTCACTGTCCCTGCCAGGCGCATACGAACCGCAACGGCTTCGAGGTCCTTGTGAACCACGACTGCTTGGTGTTCCTGAAAGAATGCCGAAGAAAATTCATTCCGGCATCCCGCGAATCCGAACAAACGAAATCGAGCACAGACATGATCTTCGACATGCGTTCTAGAGAGCTCGAGGCTACCTTTCTCGTTCTAGTCGCAACGTCGTATCGTTTGCTTCCTGACGGTATCACACACTTGTTCTTCTTCACTTTCGCTCCCTCGAGATCCTCGGGGTCAGTGTTCGGAGGCACGGTCACAAGCCAGAGCCGTTTTCTGGAAGGGAATGAGAGCTATGTAGCGACAGTTCCTCGCAAGCCGAGAATTCGTCACACTTCGATTTTCCGGGAAGGATTCACGTGACCACTTCCTGTGGCTCAGAAAATCGCCCAATGCCATCGAGGGGCCACGAGTCAGGGTGGGAACAAACCTCCTTCCATTCAGATCGAAGAACATATTATGATCCACTGCCGGTACGAGACTCGGGCTGAAGTCTTGAGGAACTTTCACGTCTGCCAGCGACACCGAACCAGTGTACGACATCGACGCTTCCTCCATGATTTCAGATTCTGAGGCATTGGGAGACATGACGGACGTCGGATATCACTGGTATCTGTTCCGTTTACTTCTCCGAATACTGATTCTCCTCTACTACAGAAAGCACATGGTGCTGTTGTTATGATTGAGGATTTCAGGAGGCGCGGGAAGTTCAAACGCGGCGCTATTGTGAAGCTTCGTGTCTCCACTCGCCCGTAGGATTGGCGGGCATTCATCGCCGCATGAGCGGAGTTTTATCAATCGCGCGAAAGCGAGGCGCTCGCTCGCATCGGTGAGTGCGAGAAGCGAGTTTCGCGATTGACGAGCCTCATGCTTTCTCCCGAGTGGTGATTTTATTCCGAAAGTGATTTTTAAACCGGAAAAGTGATTTCCACGGGAACCGGAAGAATGGCCGCGACAGACTCCAAGGACTTCCAGAGCACGGTGCTCGGACTCTACCCAGATGACTCTGATACAATCGCTCCCGTAGATTTCAGTACGGGAGGCAGTGGATGGTCAGCGGACATTTTCGTGAAACGGGAAAGTGTATCAGACGAGGGTGGGAGCAGCTGTGAGGACAGGACAGGTCGGTGAGAATCGTTGACATTCGATATTGAGTCTTTTCCAATCCCCAGTCAGAGCGCTAAGAGAAACCCGCACTGAGAGCTCATACCTTCCAGACGATCACTTCCCCGGATGCACCTGTTGTCGGTACTGCGACAAAACCTTCCCTCATCTCTCGAGATTACGCCAACACGAGTTGACGCATAAAGCGGAGAAATGTTTTTCCTGCTCCAAATGCTCGAAGAGCTTCTCGAGGAGAGACACACTAACGAGACACGAGAGTACCCACGAAGAGAGGGAGCTCCTCATATGCGGGGCCGAAGGTTGCGGTCAGAAGTTCATCGCGGCACGGTATTTGAGAGCTCACGAAAAGAGCCACGGTGATTTCAATGAGTCCAGGCGCTCCAGGAATAAATCACGGAAACCTCTCGGAGAGAAGCCGAGCAACGACGCGGACTCACGAGCGGAATATCCCCGAGAAAAATGTGACGTTTGCGGGCTGGAAACTCTCAGAGTCAACATGGCACGGCATAAGAGAACGTCCCACTCGCACGGGGAAGAATCGAAACTGAAGTGCGAAACCTGCGGATTGGTCGTTCGCGATCAGTGGCAATTGCGGGAACATCACAAAACAAAACACTCGAAAATCAAAAATTTGGAGTGCTCCGAATGTGACAAGCAGTTCAAGACGAGTAATGGCTTGCAGAAGCACGAACGCACACACCAACAAATCAAATCTCACGTCTGTCCGGATTGCGGTAAATCCTTCTTGCGCAAAGATACCCTCGACATTCACCGTCGGGTCCACAATGATGTGAGACCGCACATCTGCGAGGAATGCGCCGCTTCTTTCACACAAAGGGGTCATTTGATCAGGCATCAGAAACGATTCCACTCCTGATAGGCTTCATCGACGCATCGAGCAGACTCCCCTCTCGAGAATCCCCCATCGATTTTCCGACCGTCTTACATTTCTCCTGAAGCCTTCTATCGTCCTTCTTGGATTTTTTTTATTCAGCTTTCAAACCCCCGACGCGTCTCCGGGAGCTCGAATCAGCTCATATTCGTCCAGGAGGACTCTTAGCGGAAATAAAGTAACAGTCGACTGAGAGGATTCCTCGTTCTAATCAAGCAGATTTGATTATTATTAAGGTGGCTTCGGAGCATAAAATTCTGATAGTATGGCAAGTGCAGAGCGACTACATCTACGAGTTCTGGGGCGCGGCGCGCTGTGTCGGTTGAGACATTGAGACCTCGAAGCCCTCTAACTCAGTCAACGTTTGTTGCTGTTGCCGGGATCATCGTCAGCATTCAAAACATTGCCGTGGTTTCCATTGAGAGAGTACCACCACAAGGATGATGCTCGGGGTTGTTCAAGGTGAGCAGCGAATTTCCGCGTCGATTCTCAAGTTATCGACGCGATTGGAAAGCGCAGGCTCTAGCATAGATCGGGAGAGAATTCCCATGGCAGAGATAATCGATAGCCTCGGAGTCCCTCTGGGTTGATCTTCCCGTACCGCTACTGTCCACTCTAGACAGACTTCGCCTTTCCTACATTGCGCTGAGCCCCGACCACCCTAGGAGAAGATCCACCTCGGTACCTCAATTTAGAATCGCATACTGCGATGCATTGTCCTGCCTGGTCGATAAACTCCGGGAAATCGACTTTCCGATCCCCGGCCGCTTTGAGCAGTCAGAACACCTGATTGGCGTTCCCGGAGCGACAGCGTTTAATTGACACCCGCTCGATTGATTCTCTGCATGTCGTTTCGTCTCCGCATGAGTGGAATGGTTCAGCTGGCTGGAAATACTATCGGGACGTGAATTTAGGACCGGTGGTCTGTGTATAAACATCCTCCTGGATTGGTCGTACTTATCTGGATCCCACTGCATGCTTGAGGCGACACTCAATCCGATGCGACTTTTATCGGCTGATCGTTCATTCCAGGACATCTCCGACACTCGGCGGCGCTCAGCGCCCCGTGGATCCGTTCCCTCGGTACCTCTGCCGTGGCCGCTAAGAATCTAGAAAGGGTCGGAGCTGCTGTCCAGGTTTCTGACAAGGAGGGAATTCTCACCCGGGATGGTGTCTCGCCCTTCGATGTTCCGACGACGAATAAGGTCGACTACGCTCTCGCGCGGCTTGATGATCTCCTCAATTGGGGTCGGAGGGGTTCCCTATGGCCGCTGACGTTCGGCTTGGCGTGCTGCGCTGTCGAGATGATGCACATCGCCGCCCCACGTTACGACATGGACAGGTACGGAGTTGTTTTTCGAGCTTCTCCACGTCAAGCCGATGTGATCATCGTCGCTGGGACCGTTACCAACAAAATGGCTCCTGCTCTCCGGAAAATCTACGATCAGATGCTCGAGCCGCGATGGGTGATCTCCATGGGCTCGTGCGCGAACGGCGGAGGTTATTACCATTACTCGTACTCGGTGGTACGAGGTTGCGATAGGATCATCCCGGTCGACATCTACGTTCCTGGCTGCCCACCAACGGCCGAGGCGCTGATGTACGCCATTTTGCTGCTTCAACGGAAGATCAAGAGAATGCAGAGCGTACAGCTATGGTACAGGAAGTGAGTGTATATACCGAGTACTCGAGTCAGCTTTTCGGGGACGTGTAGGCACGTCATGATGTTGTTACTTTCTACGAGATTGAGGGGGGTTGAGAATAAAGTAACAGATAGGTTTCAAGTGTTCAACGACTCCTCCTTCCCGCTCCACGGAGTCGGGCATTCCCTCAGCTGCACGGCTCTGGAAAAGCGCTATCGTATGATCAAGAGTTCCTCGTTTATTCATCTTCAGGATTAGGAATCCTCTCACAGCGTTCAATCTCCTCACAGAATAATCATAATGATTAATAGTAATAATAGTAATAATAATGATCATGATATTCATAATTATATCCCTATTCATAGCGGTCTTGCTCGATTCATCGATCACATGTCCTCCTGATTCAAAGAATAATGTTCGGAGTCCCGACCCTCCCACCGATCCGTGAGACGAGCGCCCCCGCTCTCTCCCGATGAATTCCACTGCCTGATGATGGCATTACCCGATCCGGGAAATTCTTCCTCGTGAGAAACAATTATCACGATTCGAGTCACGGGGCCTCACCGAGGAGCGGGAGAATCTGCTCCTCGAAGATTCACATCCGGAACTCGATGGAAACTCACTCAACAACGGAGGCCAAATTCCGCCGACTCTTCAAAAAAGCAACAGTTGCCAGCCCCCGTCTCCTTTGGATTCCTTGCATTGAGAGTTGCTCGATGTTTATCGAAAAATAAACTCCTCACAGCGAGCGAACGTGAAGGTGAGCCTGTCATCGTGGATTCGACGCAAAAATTTTCAGGGTGCGCACTCACTCGCTCACTCACATCCGACGCCAGTGAGAAGAAAATCAGACTAGGAACTACTTCGAGAATCTCCTAATCGTCGATCGACTTCTTTGGAGTTTCTTAGCGGGAGAGAAATCAGAAAACAAAAACTCTGGGGAAGAAATCAGCGGCGATGCCTCGAAGGTCGATCAACCGCGAACGATGATAACCCCACTTCTACCCGAGAACATCGAGAGAGAACTGAACTGAATTGATTAGCTTCCAATTTGGGCCGAGTTATTCGAAGGTCGCTTGGCATCGTAGACTCCCTCAGAATCCTTCCATGGGTAGATAGATAGATAAATATATTTCCTTGTTGTTGTATCCTCTCCGTTTTTGTTCTACGACTTATTTAGGGTTTTGTTGGTGATGCATCCATATTAACTACTGACTGAGCGTTTGAGCTACATCACACGGTACAAAAGAAATGACTCATCGACTCGGCTCCTCTCGCAGGCACTCTCATTCTCTCGGCGGTCATCAGCAAGGCCAACTACGTATCGATCTATTGCGTGGTGCGGGTAGATGCTGTCGATGATGATGTTATTGTTGTAACTTATATTTCTGTTGTTGCCTTCCACCTTGACCGCTTGGCGAGCATCTCTCGTTCCCCTTGACTAATGAACTAATTGGTTTTACTAATCCTTGCGAGCTTTTCTTCTCCTGAGAATCTTCGGCGCTTCCCCAGCACCTTGTTCTCTGGGCTTGTCCTCCTCGGCTACATCTTCCTCGCCATCTTCATCAGGCTCCTCTACGGCTTCCTCATCTTCGCCGGGCTCCTCGACGTTGCCCTCGACGTTGCCCTCGACGTCGCCCTCGACGTCGTCCGCCGCCCGCTCCTTCCCGTCCTCATGTTCTTCATCTGCTTCCATGAGATCTACGAGACCCTGTTCGGTGCCTTCGTCTCCCTCTAGGTCGGATTTCTTTCTCCGCGCATACTCGTCCTCCGGGGACGGGCTCTTCGACATGCAGCAATAGCTTATCAGGAAAGCGGCGGGAACGCCAATACCGATGACGTAAATGCCCCAAAGCCACGGATAAGCAGTGGAAATTTCTACAAATTGGGTGAACCACGAGGGCCCGCTCTTATCCAACATTCTGCGCTTCGTATGGAAGCCATCTTCGGACCATTGGGTGGCGACGGCTTTGTCATCGGTGACGAGGATATTGTCGAAGAGAATGCCGTCGGACATCGACCAGAGCTCGAAGCCCACAGCGACGACCGGTTCTAAGCGGAAGGGATGGAGATCCTCGAAATAGTTCGGGTTCTGAATCATCCGATGGGTCCATTTTCCCTTGTAGGCGGGGTTGTCGACCATCGGAGCTTTCCACTTGCCCTTGTACTTGGGGTTGGGAATCATTTTGGGTCTCCATTCACCGCAACCGACGTCTCTGCACTTCTCGTTGTCGACTAGAGGAGCTTCCCAGACTCCGTCCATATCCTCGTCCCAGTCGGTGGGCTGCTTCGCCTCCGGGTCGGGGATGAGGCGCGGCTCGTCGTCGAGCCACCCGATCGGTTTCTCGGCGTTGGGATCCTCGATTTCTTTGGGCTCGTCCTCGTCCCAGTCGTCTGGCTTGGTGGCCTCCGGATCGGGGATGTGCTCACGTTCGTCCCAGTCTTCGGGCTTCTCATCCGACATGTCTGGGATCATCTTGGGAGGGTTGACCGGAGGATCGAAGTCGTCGAAGAGATTACCTGTCGCTTCGCTACGACCGTCGATCAGAATTTCGAAGGTGTTGTCCGGATTGAAGAAAAGAGTGTACTGATGGGACTTCTTGTCGGTGAAAACATCCATGAATTTCCCGTTCATCGCACCTCCTGCGCTGAGGATCTTCTTCCAGTGTTTTTCCTCGAACGTTCCTGTTTTCGGGTTTTTGTGCTGGAAGATGAGCTGCAATTTCTGTTGGGTTCCGCATTTGTCGGGACCGAACATGATGCTGTACCGGGTCATGTCGTTGAAGGATTTCTGCATGTCGGAAACGGAACCTGATTTCGGCTGCGAGAGTAGCTTCAGGTAGGCCCCGCCACACTCCATACCGTTTTGGAATTGAACTTCGTACTGCACTACGAGAGGTCTGTGGTCGAAGAGGAACGGACGACTGAGCTGCGCGCTGATCGCGTAATGTCTCGCTTTCGTCTTCAAAACCATGCCAAGGTCCCCCTTGAGATGGTTCTCGTCGCTGGGAGCTTCAACTTCGAATTGGCCATCGTATTTCGCGATGTCCTCCTCCACGTCTTCTTTTCTGGCTTCGGACCTTATCCATCTCTCTTCGAAGTTCTGCGGTGCGTCGAAATGTTCGGCGAGAAAAGCGTGACCAGCCGGAATAGGGGATTTGTATTGGTATTCCTCCGAGCTCTGTGCGCTAGCCCAGGAGGCCGCGAAAAGCCAGAACCACCACTTGACCATTTCCTCGGATCACCCTGGAGGAAAAGTACACAGTTAGCACCAGTTCCAAGCCGAATTGCTGGCAAATGCATATTTTCGGAGCGTCCAGGCCGATCAGATTCTGGGGAGCGTAACTGTTCAATCGGCGGTCCAGAGACAACGAAATTTGCTCACGACAAAGCTCTCATAGACAATTCTTGAAAGGAAGAGCCCCGCGAGAGAGGATATATATACCGACTAGATGGTGAATGATGAGGGAAATGTACCCCAAACTCAGCTTGGACACTGTATGCCAATATCGTGTCGGTCATTATGTCATAATTATTCATCTGAACATCTCTGCACGGGCCAGTAGTACGATCAATCTCATGTTATCAAATTGCTTTTGCTTTCGGAGCGAGTCTAGACACGTGTCTTGTGAAGCAATAAAACAACAACATACCTTCTCTGGCGGCGAAAGGCGCACAGGAGAACAATAGCCCGGTACACGACTATCAACGTCGCAGTAGTAGCTCTGGAACAACGTGGTTCACTTAGACCGGAGAATGTTTACAACTCGAACCCGGCAAAGGATGCGACACCTTCATCTCACGGACGCCCATAATTGGATACTAGAACGGCAGTTTAGCGATACGATGTATTTGGATGTTCATGATGGAATCGCCTCCACCATCATCGCCCAGAGCTCCCTCTTAACTGATCCCGCTCCCCAAGTCGGTTGAAAGCGAAGAAATCGAGATCGAATGTACATCCGAGGGGATTCAATGCGGTCGATCATTTAGAAAAAGCGGTAAAGTGAGTCGCTCCCACGTCGTCTCGATGAGTGCACCGAGAGCGATCAGCGCCGTTTCTCCTCTCAGAAATTAATTCGGAGGCCCCGCGTCTAATAGTAGTGGTGGCGGTTGTGGTAACCATACTACTACCGGCATGCACTGGAAATTATAGGCAGAGCGCGACCGCATGTATCGATCGATTGCTACCGATATCCACCTCCCGCGCACCCTGATACCTCGTCGGCATTAAGAGTAGACTCACCCGATGATCAACGGGTGATGAACAGAACAGAAGATCGCTCAGCTGAACCTCACGAATAGTACGAGAGTCGCTTGGCGTTTTCCTATTGGCCGGCCTACTAGAGGGCGCTGCGCAGACCACTAAATGGCGCTGAGCTTTGAATTGTGTTCTCGTGTGGAGCGTGTCCGGGGACGGCGTCACCGTACTTGGGGAATCCGCGAGCCGCGAAATCAATACGATTCGGGGGAAACCGCAGGACTGGGCGGTCTGGAATCGTGAAGACCTCCAAGCCTCATTCCATGCTCGAAGAGACGTTGGACGCGGCAGGGGTGCAGGCCCACCACGTTACCACCGTTGAGCTTGAGTTAGCGGATATAGCGGATATGATGGCGCCTTAGGGAGAGACCCCGTTCCTAAGGTGGTCGACTACGGATCCCTATCTTTCGAGACCTCTCAGGAGCTCTGGCTGGCAGCTGCCTTCGTCTCCTGATCGATTATATGAACCCCGGTGAGCCGGTGAGGTGACACAGGATGCTGTTCCTCCAGCAGGGCCGACGTCTCAATCAGCATAGGAAATCTCTGCCAGAACCATCCCAACATCCGCCGAAGATTTCGAAATTGATTCCCAGTCGACGGCGAAATTCCCCGCAATCGAGCACGGTTTAAGGGTTTACTCGGCGGGGGGAACGATTCGACCATCAATGAGCACAGCGGCGATGCACTGGACACCGCCGAGAGTGCCGAAAATGTCACACACTCCAGTACGCGAAAAAAGAACACGAAAAGTTCGAGAAATAAGACGCTTACGGCGAACCGACCAGAGGTGGTTTTTCCAACAGTCAATAGCTAGAGCATGTAAAAGACGATGCATCCGAAAAAAGGAGATATCGGGAAAGGTTCGGCGAAGCTCCTGAAAACCTGGAGGAAGTCGAGGGAGACTGCGCTGCGGTTCCCTGCGCTTATGCATTTTCCTCATCACCGAGCTCTTCACTTCAAGGTGGAGATGACCGATCATGAAAGCGTCTTAATTAGCATCGAGCGGAGCGATGGTGATGGTCGGCCCTGGGCTGAAAAACACGCAACACATTACGAATTCGGAGGAGATTTTCTCGCGGCCCCTTCACGGGAGTCAGTAGGTTCATCTTGTAGAGGCCTCGTCTGGAACCGTGAGGGTAAGTCAAGACAGACATACGTAGAGCTCGATAGGAGCCACCCGCTTGGAGCTCTAAGGATTTCCGAAGGGCAATGATTCTCACGAAGCGACCGAAAATACGACGCAATTTCAGAATAAATGAGAGGACTCTCCCGAGACTCCAGAAAAACCAAGGCGCATGTCGAGTCCATGAGTCGACCCGATTCAGTTGGGCTCTATTTCTCATTGATCCGATGAAACAACAGGAGAAGTTGCATGCCTCGAATCGACATCGTCACGTTCCATAGCAAAAGCACCACCTCAACGACTAACGACAGATAGACGGAAGACGGATCACAATCTCGCGCTGATGATCTTCCTTCTAGCAGTCTGCTGTGGTGCCATCTTGTTCCGCGGTCAAATGACGTACACATGCCGCTATTTTTGATAATATAGCGTAATAGTCACTGACTTCTTGTACGATTTACATTGAAGTGGTTTCCGGCGCCAAAGGTTTCGGGCTCAGACCTACCGAACGAAGGGCGTGTGAGCCAAGTCCCAGGTTTAGTAGTGCAACAAGTCGGGGAACAGAACCCATGATTTCGAACGCGGGTGAATACTAGAAGACCGGCAGTATTCAGAGAGCGCTTTCGGATTCTGAGACTTCCTCGCTCGCGTCCCCGGTAAGTTCCGATGTTGGTCCTCTGAAAACGCTGACCGAGACCGAATCCGAGGAATGCCGGATGTCCAAATGCTCCTTAATGGCAACTGAAGGGAAATCTGTGAGAAGTACACCTTCCGAGCTGGGAAGTCGCATCACGAACCCCCTCAGACCCCGCGTGTGGTTTTCTGGATGTGTCATCATATCAAAGGGATTTAAAGCAACTTCGTTCGATTACAGTACCAGTTCCCGCGTCCATGAATTTGGGATCCTATCTACGCGGCCTTGATGAGGCCATCCGCTATCAGGACGGAGCGTCCCTCGCGAGTCAGCTGTCACTCCGCGAATGCAACTCTGTCAAAGCGAACCTCTTACTCCAACTGCCGTCGGATACCGAACGACAAATCCAGCGAATGTTTGACGCGCCATGGGACGAGCTTGTTTATACGCATCTGAAGTGCGCCCAGAGCGCCTGCACCTACAAATACGTGTCAGCTTTCAGAGAACAGCAAAACCACATTCAGGTAAGGCCGATCACTTCGAAGCACCCCAGGGTCCGGTGCTGCCAACTCGCACAGAGTCTTTCACATGTGAAAATGCTACTCCCTAATCCTTCTTAGAAATCATAATCGGTCTGATTGACCGGAGATGCATCGCTGAAATTCCAGGTGCTGGTGAAGATTCTCCAATCACAAAAAGAAGAAAACTGGTGTTTACCAGTGATGTGCTGCGCCTGTCTAGAGGTACGCCTGCTTGGAGTCCAGGCCGATAAACAGGCACGGCAGAAAAAAACTACAAACAGGGAGAGCTCTTGGAAAAGTCCGCTGAGTCTCTCATGAGCTGCTTCAGAGTGTGCGCGAGCGATAACAGAGCCGCCCTGAAAGACTCGAAACGACTTGGGATGTTGCACCTTGTGAATCAACTGTTCAAGATATACTACAGTGTAAATACCCTTCATCTATGTAAACCGCTGATTCGAGCCATAGAAGTGTGCGCCTACAAAGACGAATTCAACTTGGGCGACATGGTCACCTATCGTTATTTCGTTGGCCGGAAAGCTGTGTTCGACAACGAGCTCAAAACAGCACACGACTACTTGTCGTTCGCGCTACAGAACTGTCATCCGCGCTCTTTGAATAACAAACGTCAGATACTCATCTACCTCATACCGGTGAAACTCTTGCTCGGCTACCAGCCCACGCCAGGGCTGCTGGAGAAGTATGAACTCAAAGAATTCCTCGAGATATGTCACGCTATCAAGACCGGCAACGTGCTGAAATTCCAGCAGGAGCTCGACAAGAACGAAGCGTATTTCTTCAAGATCGGAGTCTACTTGATACTGGAGCGGCTCCGCATGGTCGTGTACAGAAACCTTTTCAAGAGAGTTTTCCTCATTTTGGGCACTCATCAGATACCCATCGAGGCGTTGTTAGCTGTTCTCAAGTCTCAGAATGTGGAAGATATAAACTTAGCCGAAACGCAATGTCTATTGGCGAATCTGGTCTACCAGAACAAGATCAAGGGCTATATCTCGCTACAGCATTCGAAGCTCGTCGTCAGTAAACAGAACGCCTTCCCGAAGCTGAGCTCTTTGAATTGATGAAGAGCTTTTCTTGAAGAATACGAGACGGCGAGGACGCGACAACGAGTGGGAAAAGAACAATAAAAAAATCATCGTTCACGTTGAGAGCGTGTTTCCTATAATTTTTGTCTCTTTATTCAACCTCTCGTACGGTTTCAATCCATCTGCCTTCCAGTATTTACACATTAGCACGGCTTGAGTTTTTCTATTCCGTTCGCGATACACCTAACCATCCTCGATCCGCTCGCACGACACTGCGAGCACTCGATCTGCATGATCGTCATTCACATTATGCTTTCACCGCGTTTTTAAAAGGAACAGCTCCGAATTAAATTTTTTAACGTTACGTTAGCCCGGAACTTTCTTTTCAACATTCTCGCAGAGTGTCGCACACATGGATCCAGCAATTCTCAATCACTGCAAGTTCCTCACATCTTTTACAATACAAGGATAGCGCACATCTTCCATCAGAGGTAGAATTCTCTGATTACGACGTCGTCAACCGCTCACAGAATTTGTTGGTTTTCCTATCCATCTCAAAAGGTAGTCCGGCTAGTATTCCGCTCAGAGTACCTCATCGAAATCCAAAAATAATTCTCTTCATCCCTCAAGCCCTCATGAGTCGCATCCCTATCTGAAGGAACCGGTCCGGATGACGCCGGAAGAAGGAATTAAATTAGTTTACGCTTCGGGCCGCGTGCTTCCCGATGTCTAAACCCAGAAGCCTCTTTCGACCCAGCTCTCTATTAAATCAGCGCGATCTTTAGCGCGACAGACGAGACTTGCGATATTTCCATTACACTCCATTTCAAATACGATACGATGCGCGGCGCCCGCAGTAGATGAGCGACGGATTGCGGATCCACGAGCACTTAATGAAGTTGAATTGGTTTTCATAAAAAGTAACACGCTCCATTCATGACATTACTGATATTTTTCTCATCCGCATGTAAACTTGCGCATGCCCGATACAAGTCGACCGAGCTCAACATGGTCATCGATGACAAACAGCTCAGGGAAATTATCACCTCAATTAACCAATCATTCGATCAATCGAAAATCTCAGATCCCGGATCGCTTCCCTCGGTCGAGTTTCATGAGACTCGCTATTTGTTCTCAGCAATGGCGCCGACGACGTCGCTGCGTCTCCCGCAGCTCTCATTCGAGAAATTGATAGATCTCACCACCAATTTCTCGGGAAGGGTCCGCCATCCCGAAGCTCGACATCGCACCTATCTTTGGCTAAGTACACTAAGAAATAAATGAGCCGGGGACCGCTCATCTGCCGGTGTCTCCGGGAGACGGGCTTCCCTTGGCAGGTTGGTTCTCTCCAAGTGACTGGGATTGTTTTTGAATGGATGTCGACAGACGGTGGACCCGATGACCGCGGCCCCGTTCGGGGAATCGTCTCCGTCGATGATTTCAAACGATACATGCAGACCCTATGGAGCTCTCAAAAAACTGTCTCGAGCCCATACTCGACAGCAGTCATCTTCTATCTACACTTTGCCTATCACAGCCTCTCTCCACGCACACGTTGCTCAGTTGTATTTCCTCGGATCAGGAGAGGACGCACATCAACATCATCATCGTCACGCAAATCTGGCACATCATGGTCGTGGTCGTAGTTTTGAACGACGAGGTGTTCCGCAAGCATCTCTCAGCCACACTTAAACTCATTTACATCACAGATCGATTTACTTGTCGGCGGCCTCATAGTTGAGCAGACTGCCCGCAAGCGCCCTCGTGGAACCCTGGCTCGCCTTGTCGTCCTGTTCGATTTGAACTTGGACCGTTTGAAGTCTACCGGACTCGAGCGTCTTTCCACTCACAACGGAATCGACGTCACCGCCGCCGTTGCCTCCGCTCGCCATCGTGATGCTAACGTGATCGCCATCGGTGGCTGCAAGGGAAACGTTGAGGACCGTCATGGAAATTCTCTCACTCAGAAGCATCGCCGACTCCAGCGTCTCCAGAATCGTTTCAAGAGGAATCATGTTCCGGAATAGCGGAGGAAATTCTTCAACTCACCAGCTTGAACTTTGGATGATCTACGTTGGCCTTCGCCAGAGGTCGATGGGAATTTGCCATCGTCCATTTGTTGTTCTTCAGCACCCGGGCCTTCGTCGAACTGGAGACGAACGCCGGAACTAGACGCCTTCACGCCCCAACCTCCCGCTGGAAAATCAAGGAGAGGAATTCTTATCCGACCATCCTCCATGAGGACTTCTGTAGAATTTGAAAAATTTGGCAATCGAAGCGGACATCTTTCAGTTGAGCCCCCTGTCGTCGATCCGACTATTCTCGAATCTCGGGACATCCATGGTGTCTTCATTTGCTCAGAAAACATCTGCTCACCTGATCTTAGGAGACTCAGCGGTACAACTCCATACGCGTAGGCGAGGAGTATGGGTACACCGATGCCGATCGCAATCGCCGCGACGATCGGTGAGAAGGCCATCGAAAGCAGAACTCCCATCGCAACGGCAGTGTTCCTTTTCATTGCGCTCTTCTCTCGGTTCTTCACGTAAATCTTTTTGCCAATGAACACGGGAATCCCGATGATGATTCCCGGAATGGCGATACCGGCGATCAGCGCAATTCCTACGGGGGCACCCACGAGCATCCCGAGCTGACACAGAATCTTCTTCTTCCGGGACCAGGGCTTTTTGCCCCAGAATGTACAGCCCGAAGGTGACAGATAGTGGAGATCGGTGATCTGCTTAACGCACAGCCAGCAAAACTCCTTCCCGCAAATGCCACACGTCATGTGGTTACAGCTACCGTCGTCCGCCTTGATGATCTGCATCTGTGGACGGAGAAAAAATCTTTCTTACTATCCGTATGTTCCCGAGAGCTCATCGACACGATTCGATGAGTACAGATGAATTGAACGAACATTCAAACACAGGGATTCACTCCGGAGCGAAAACCTAGCCACCTTAATCAGTTAGAATATAATTTAGGTATCAAGAAGCGATCGTACCCCGCAACTCGGGCAGTTCTTCATCTCTTCCTTCCCTGCGAATTTTCCGCTCGGAGATCCACTAGTTGAGCCCGAAGCTCCCGATGTTGAAGGGAAGGGACCGCAAGGAATTTCTTCCTGCCGCTGCTGTCGCGCCATGTCGCACGTAATATTCGGATGCCATTCTTGTTTACAGTGATAGCAGAACTCAGTGTCGCATCCAGGTCTCTGGCATCTGGAAGGAAGGAAGAACAAAGATGATATTTGAGCCGGTACGATCCGGAGGAATCAAAGCGCTGAGGAGGACATCGACGGCATAGGGTGCCCATGAGCGGCGATATCTTACTTTAATTTGGGGCACGTCGCGCAATTGTTCGCGATCACGACAAATGTACAATCTGGTGCCGGACACCAGCGGGCATCTCGGTCTGTACAGAGCACTCTTCTTAACATAAACGTCTCGTATTTGAGCATGGTAGCTTCGTCGCTCAGAATATTCCGAATGTCTGTCGGATGAATCAGTTGCGAGCATTCTGGACAGTCGATGTTGATGCGACCCTCTGATATTTCGATTCGGAGATAACGTTGAAGACAATCCCAGCACGTACGATGATTACAGAGGCTCAACTGAAAGAAGAACACGGGTGATAGGTATGGAATGAGACCGTGGGGTCACACGTTCGTTGAGCCCCCGCCTTATTTCCTTCCGCTAAAACGAGAACGATCGACCGTCAGATCTGGATGCTCTTTCGCCTGGAAACCGACCGAGAGAAGTTACTCACCTTTGGGAAACAGTCCGGGTGCAGTTCAAGGAGGCACAGGGGGCATTCTCTGAGATACTGGTCCTTCTTCGAAGGTTTACTGGAAGCTGCAGCAAGCGGCGTCTCAGCTGAACTGGGTATCCCAACTTCAGCATCCGACGCCGACTGTTGACGCGCACCATTGTCCGAGGAGGAGTCTTGTCTGAGAGATTAGAGTCGATTGATCGCGGGTCCGTAGTCCACAGCTTCTTTCCGATTCGAACCCCGGTCGTCCGATATTACTCGAATAGGTGAGTAGTCCACATCGACTGCTTACCTGTCAACCAGCCTTGCGGCGAGCTGAGTAAAAGTACCAGGAGGACTAGTTCCAAAAATGCTCCTGAGTGAGAAACGGCTCCGGCGCTGAGTGGATGACCCAGCCATTTTCTGACAGGAAGACACTCCTGCTCGAGTTTGGCTCACCGGCTCATTTGCTTGCTCCCGGTCTCCTGGAGGGAAAAAATCGAGAACCGTTAGAATCCGCTTTCGGAACAGTTTCTGCATCGGAGTCCCTGAACGATTTCGACCAACGGGAAATCATTCGAAGATCCATAGAATCGGAAGTTTTCCCCGCAAAGTTCCACGGGTCGAGTGCGCCCGAATAATCAGTCATCGGCACGAGATTCCGATCAACGACGGGGGATAGACTGCGGGATTATTTGCAAAGCACCTGTCTTGTCTACCGTCAGGCTTGGCATGTCGGCTCATGATTTCCCAGCCGACCGTAATTTGAGAACAATCGTTATCGGCATAAGCACGGCCAGTCTGATGTTTTCCGCAGACCAAGGGTTGAGATCAACGCGGGGAAACGAACGCAAATCTAGAGGAGACGCTCACTAGCTGCTCAGTCACAGCTCAAAGTCGCTATCCAACGCCGTTGACACCGAGATTATCGTCACTAACGTCATCAAGATCCTGATGCTGGCTGTTCGATCAAATCAGGTGACGGACGACTCAAATACGAAGACAGTGGCTGATCGGATGAAGGCATTCTATTGAACACTCGTTCGTTCTTCGATTGAGTGAAATCGATGCCCCGATCACGATGCAGGTTCACGACACCATCGACAGCCAAAGCTCGCACCGTGGCCGTCGTCTGATCCTTCGGGCAGCGCTTGTGAAGCTAAGCGGCCGCTACCAAGCTCACCTTGAAACAAGGAACGTTCGGATGAAGCCGATCAACGTTCCACACACAAAGCAGGCGTTTTGGCTCAGACGATCTAACTCTATAGGAATGAACAATGCACGGAAAGCCTCATTGCGAGGCTGTGGCATGATCTTCCAAGAGCCCGCATTCGAAAACCTTGTAGAGCGACGCGCGAGAGCTCTGCCTTCTCGGGCCCTCGCTTGCTCTCGTTACGCGAACGATATCCTCTAAACGCGCCTAATCTCGAGCCAGGAGACTACGTAAGCAGCTGCGGTGATATACACTCACGCTCGCTGTCCCCTCGAACGCATAGCCTGCGGTGGCTGCTTCCGCACTCAAAAATGAGCTCGCACACGAAACTACTGCGAGCGCGCGACTGACCGAACGACTGACTGACTGACCGGCTGACGGATGTGAGCCGATGTCCTCTACACTGCGATTCTCTATAGGCACGGTCTATCACCGGCTGGCACGTTGAAGACGGCGGCGGTAACTTTGTTTTGTTCGAGACACACAGCGACTGAGATTCCTCTCCCGACTGAATTTTCGACTCGATCGTTGCCATCAGCCTCGGGAGAATCAATTCTCCCGCAATTCAAAGTTGAGTTCGGCCTCGTCGACGAGCGCTCCTGTCAATCGTCCGGAACGGCTGTCATGATAGGGACAGTTTCCCGTCGAGCTGCCCTGACGGGGGAGAAAAACGGAGGAACCGGAAAATTCCAGCGAGAACAAGAATTCGATAAGCAGCCGGGGCGGCCGCGGAGCCTATGGACCCTTCAAAGTAGAGCAATTTTTTTCTGTGGGAATTTCAAAGCTCTCGACGTTTTTTCCTTGCGGCTGCATGCGAATGGCTCATGGCGCCGTCGGGTAGCCCGTTTGAAATTCTGAAAAGCCAAACTGCGAATGACCGAATGAGCAATCGAAAGTGTTGGCGCTACGGCATTGCGACAGCTCTCATTGAAGGTCCCAAAACGTACGTATATTGCGCCCTTGCGACATACACCCACGTCGTCGACTGAGCCAGACAGAACATAGGAAATTGACGAGGATATCTGACGCCGTAAAATACTGTTCGGTGCTCGAGCCGAGAGTTCCTTTTGGGAGGGAGACGTTCGCAAGAGCGTCGAAAGCTCCCGATCCCTCACGAAGCAGAACCATCTCTGCCGTCGGCTGACGACCGAACGTAATACAACACCGCATAGCTGATTCGAGCCGCCTGATCACGTCGCCCGTGGAACGCATACAGTGCTGTTTCTTTGAAAATATTCCATCTGAACGCTCGACCGACCGACCGAGGGGCTGTTCTTTTCTCGTGTCAGCCTCTACGTCAGAACTTGTTACGTCGAACTAAATTCTTCGGTGACATCCGAACAACGAAAGACGAAAGTCAGGAAACTGTTCTAGCGAATCCGATCGATGATTAGAAGGTAATGAAGGAGATTTCCGTCGGAAGTTGCGGTCGTTTTCCCAGGGAGACGTAGAATGGAAGTTTTCGGCAGAAAAGCATTCGGGCTTTCCATCGATGATCTCTTCTGACGTTCTCGCAGCGGTTCCAGCGATATTCTTCTCAGCAGCAAGTAGTTGACTGAGATTAGTGAACATCGGTCGATAGCTAGCGGTAACGTCCGGCGACTCCGGAAAGTCCACTGACAGGTCCCTTCGGGCCTTACCATCTATCCAATGGTAAGGCCGGAAAGGTGGCACGACGAGCCGCAGGAGGAACGAATGTACTCTTTCGCCGCGAGCGAGCTTATTCCCACAAAAGGAAGATGTGCTCGTCCCTCCCGTTGGTGCTCCTCTACGTCGAGAGGCAAGGCGTCGACCGCTAGGTGCCGTGAGCATGACGTGAGAGATATCCTTGACACGAGCGGGCGACATCTCTTCGGCTTCTTGGCTACTCTCCATTCATCCCGCAAGCTACCATCCAGTCAATCGTTCCGTTTCCTGCCGAGCTATCCGTAGATCGATCACGGTCGCGCATTCAAACTTGTCAGAGACTATGTTGACGGAACGCCGTCCTTCAGATCATCCCCTCTTCGGCTTCGCTTCCCCTCTATCCTCTCAGTCACTCGATTCTTCATCAAAGAGTAACATGGCTTATATTGGGCTGGAATCTCGTCTACTTCTCGCTGACTCGCGCGATATTGACTGAGTCGTTCCCGAAAACTGCAGGACGGAACGATCACCGATTTCAACACAGAGAACCTACGGTCAATCAAGAGTGCGGTCCGGGCAATTCCTTCATTGGACATGCTGAGACACCTCCGTGTGCAGACATCGGAGCTCGAGTTTGAACTCACGGTTTCTTCTCATGTATATCCTTGGGTGTTTGTTCATATCTTCCGAGAGAGTTTTCGACCGAGAACTTCACAACATCCACTTCACCGAACCAAAGCACATCCTCAATCGAATTGCTCTCCCGTTGCCAAGGGGCAACCGGGTGCTCCGAGACTTACTGATCGAATCAGCAACAACGACTGACTCGTTGATTCTCACCGATTGGTGGAAACGACGACGGTGTCAGCGACAAGAAAAACACTTTGCGGTTTCACTCTTTCAACGCCGTATGCAGTCGCCGGTACGGCCGCGCGCCGAGCGAAGTATCAAACAGAATGTGGGACTCTACGGCGCAGAGTCGCCCACGACATGATGAATGTCAATTTCTCAATTAGCGATTGCGCACTCAACGTCTCTCTCGAACAGTAGCAGTCGACACGGTCTTGCGGTCACAGCATACTTGAGTCGTTTGAGTCATCATATCTCACACGAGACAACGGCGAGAGCTCGGCCAACCCGTTGTGGTGAGGAGGGACCTTCGAGGGAGAAAGGGAGCTCGGGTCCGACATCGGACTACTACTCCGAAGACTGACTGACTCCTGCCGAGAACTATACCGTTGTTCTACCGAATCGTATCGTCGTCTCGACGACTCATTCACAGAGAGCTTCATTCAAGCTCTCCTTCTATTCTCGATCGATAGCCTCGAGAAGGGAGGGCTTCTCTCCGGCTTTGATTGCTTCCACTCATAAACAGAGGGAATTTCCCGAACGGAGAAGACCCAAGCAAGGTTCTGGCCTCAAACTGGAAACCTCAATCGCTCGAAGCTTTGAAGGTTAGCTTCGTGATGCTTCCAGTGAAGGGTGCTGATGGTAGACCGATAATGGCCAGCCGACCGCGCTCACGGCTACCTCCCTTGTCAAGATGGACATCATTTCTCAGGGCTCGGCAGTCCCTCGACGATTGATCGTAGACGGAGAAGTTTGATACTTCCTCTGCAGTGAGCTCGAAGGCGACATTCCATCGCGCCAACGAACATAATCATTCGGAGCTCATTAGGCTTTTGACCGCTCAGATTCCATCAGAATATGCCAATACTGACCAGGCAAAGCAGTAAACTGAAAACGTGACCTTTTAACGTTGCCCGGCCAGCATCGGCATCGATCGATACGGCCGAGCGCGTAGTCATCGCGTCCAGCGATAGACTAGCCGACGATGTCGGTGGCGGCGTCGACGCGTCGGTTGCGCAACCGAATTCAAGGCGAAAGGAAAAAGGCATACATGTCATGAACAGAGCCGATGCCTCGGCTCCAGCTACACACGAAGGGTCATGAGCTCGCAGGCAAACCTTTTTTCGTTCACTCAGCGGTATCGATCCTGGGCAGTTCCGAAATTCGTTAGCCAGCGACCGGATCGGACAATTCGATTGTTTCCATGACTCAGTCGCTCTCATGAGGAGGATTCGAAGGCAGGTATGGCATATGCGCCAACGACAGACCCCGCAAGGACGTGGAGCTCGATCGCGCGGGAACTTCTGCCATAGAATGCAAGGGTTGTTCGCCTCAGTTTTTTCGGCGACGATGATCACGTCCGAGACGATAATTGTCAACTGATGGATACCGACAGTCATGGGCTATTTAT